CAGACAGCTCTGAGACAACCTACTGCTCTTTCTCGCCAGCCGTGTCCCCTTCCTCCTCCTCCTCCTCCTCCTCCTCCTGCCACGTGTTGTGTCTGTCCACCCCACCTTCATCAACACCCCCCTCCATACACACACACACACACATACACACACAACACACAAGTAGCCACTCCAGTGTTCCAGTGAGTGAAGATGTAAACTTAGCTAGTTCAACACCGACATGCTCTCCTCCATTATTCATCTCCCCCTTAATGAGTTTTCCATTCACTGCCTAGTATCTATCTCAATAAAAAGAAACACTTGTTGTGTTTAATCAAACTAATTTAAACTAATCTATGTATGATATGATACATCTGCCCTGCATGATGTGCTCCCCTGAGTGTGGAGCAGCATGCTAGATTGAGGTAGAATTAAACAATAGACTCCAGAAAAAATGAGTACATCTTTCATAAAAACAACAGAAATATTACTTTATTTTAACATTCCAAATGTGTCATTTATACTAAGCCTCTATACAAAGCCTAACGTGCCGAGCCACAAGATTGTGTGTCAATCACATAGATAATACGTTTGTTTGCATACTATGATCATGAAATGGAGGCCGGATAAATATTTGATGGCTTCTTCAAGTTACTTAGGAACCTTGTGATCCAACACTTGAGTTGGACCTCTGCGCCTGAAGTCATTGTTAAACACCTCTACACAGCACTGGCTAACAGTTGTACGCACAGAGAATAGGAAACACTTTCTGCCGTGCGCTCCCTCTGCTCTCTGTGCCGAGGGAGAGGACTTAGTGGCCCTTAATACATTAAAAGCAACAGGGTACGGTATCCATGTTTGGTTATTACAAACACAGAGCATCAGTCTGACACCTGCTTTCATGTTCATCACATGTTCACGGTCACAGTTGTCCCTGATCTTTGGCGCACTCGTGTGCCATTCATGCGCTTTCCATGCAGCGTGCCGGTAGATAGAGCTTAACCAAGCATGTACACACACCTGTTTGCTTCTTTCTGAAAGCACCCAGCAAGTCTCTCTACTCTACTCCAGCCAGGCCACACACACACAGCTCAACCCTCCACCTTCTATTGCACAGCAGCCACTGAACTGAGACAATGTGAAACACATAGTTCAAACATAAGCCAAGAGGAGACAAAAGTGAAGTGAGTGGGATGGCGGCGAACAAGAGAGCTGGAGATAAGACAAAAGTCTGCAGCGGCATGAAGGAAAAATTAGGGGCTTCATAATCAGAGCATTTCATCTAGATCATTCTCTTTATGCGTTACTCCACATTTAAACCCCTTAAATGGAATATAAAGAGGCTTTCTGTAGATTTCCTTTACTTTTTGTGGTTTTTTATTATTTTTTGCGCCTACTGCAGGATTTTAATGAAACCAAAATCAGCTGAAATTTTTTTCCCCTCTTATTAAGGTTTTACACAATGGCTAATGCAGATGTTTTGCAATTGTGATCACAGTGTCCATCCACTGTGACTGTGAGAAACTGTAAGGCATCAAAGGTCCCACTTCCACCGGAGTGCATTAAAAATGTGCAGTTGACCTTTCAATGATAAAATATGAGACATTATAAGACAAATCAAAGTCGGTAGGTCTGATGTGGCAAAAATATTTGAAGCAATTCCTTTTCTCTAAACAATCTAATATATTGTTCATCATTATGGTCTGTTTTCTAATATAACTCAATTTAAGATGATCTGTCACTGCCAGTACACTATTATTTGTCTTATGATGTGTCGTTTGACTGCATTGTAAAGTGAAAACAAGCTTGATGATTATTTAATGAAGATTCGAGTGCCGTCGGGACGGCTGATAAGGTGATCTACATCAAAGCTGCAGGTTAACTAAGTAAGACAAGGAGACGGATGGCCCCAATTACAAGCATCTAATTACCTTATTTTAGCTCCTTAAATACAACATTAGATTTCCAGCCCCTGCATTATTCTTTACGCTATCCGTTTCCTTTTTTCCATGTTGCCACTGTTTCTTCCTCCATATTTCCCCAGGGGTCTTTCTGAAACCCCTAAATAATGCACAGCGAGTGAAGGGCTTAAAGGGGCTATATGATGGATCACTCTGCTCCTTCTGGAGCTGTTGTATTCTCCTTCTCCTGAAGCTTATTTATCATATCCATAATGACACAACTCTCAGGTGAATCTCTAAATATCCATATTTACAACAGCCTTTGATGAGTACTACGCTTTCCCACCCCCTTTATGATCCAGTTTCCAGTGTGTGACATCAGAGCAGAAATGGGTCATAAAACTGCTTTAAGATGTTCATTTTTGGAAGTTTGCTTCCTGACTGACCAATCAACTTCCCTCCAAAAATAATGTACATGCAAAGCTGCACAAAAAAATTAGGTAAATTTGATAAGAAATTCGATAATGAGAGTCACATTTTATTGGTCACCTTTATGGTGTTAAAATTATTTTGGGGAAATGTGTGGCAGCACTCTCACTCCCAGATAAGTTTAGGAAGCTCCTCTATTGGTGACTAATTTGACTCCTTTTCTGTTGAAAATATTCCAATTATAATGCAGAATATTATTTTGTTTAAATTCCAAAACAGATGGAAATTCAACCTCTGTATTTTTAACAAATAAAAAAGTGATGCAGAACAAAATATTATTGCGTGCTTGAAATCACAACATTTGTATTTAGTTTAGCATGTATTATACAGTATTATACGGGACTAAGTTTGATCCTCTGGTGGCACAACAAGTCATCACCAGGACATATGACCAACATTTTGGCTGATGAGAGACATCATTCTCCCCGTATTGCTGCCATCATCTCTGATGTGCTGGTTGCATGCATGAAAGATGGAATTCAAAACCTGACACCTGGATACATGTAAATGACATCACACCTTGTAATATTTTTTGCTGTGTGCATTCACAGCTCTTTGCGGACTGAAACCAGCTGCAAAGAGCTGTGAGCTGTAAGCTTTCACTGACAGAACGTTACTTGGAGGGCAGATGTTGACAGATTTTTTGCTTTTCCTTTTTTTATCGTATAACTCAGACATACATAAACCTGGGCACCCACAAAGAACTGAATTGTTTGGTTTAATGTAATGTCAATCCAGCAACACTTGTTCAGACATACAGTGGAGTCACTGTTCGCCATGAATGCTGTATTGTGTATAAAAACATGGAGAGAGTACCCGCTTATTCTTCTGCTTATAAATCAGTGGTCGTTTATTCTCAGGATGCTCATCCAGAGAGGAACAACACTACTCAAACCAAATTTTCCCGAGCGTCAGCAGCAGGTAAGTGTGGATGAGACAAAAACAGTCCTCAGAGGATCAAACTGATGGCTCGTTACCTCATGCAGAGAAGTGGCAATAAATATTTGAAATCCTGTCTTTGTTCAAAGGTACAGCCTTTGATTCAATTGCAGATTTTTTTCAATTGAATTTTAATTTGCATTATATTAAAAATAACAATCAAGTTTGTGCCATTTGGTCTGTCACTTGTAATATTTTTTGTCAAATCTGCTCCGACGTCTGACAGTGGCTGGGATCCAGTGTTTGTTGGCTCTGGATTGAACAGACAGGATTCATCTGTGTGACTGCTGTGACACCTGGTGGACACACAGGAGGCAGACTGACGGACACTTCATATCAAGTGGGTCAATGCCCATCACGGATCTAATGTCTTCACTTCACTCTGGCCTCTAACTGATGTTGTTACAGGCTCACCTTCCCCCCTCTTCCCTTGTCTGACCCTTTGTCATTCAGTGGATTACTTTACAGAAGGTCTCCCTTGAGGATTACATTACAAACTCTATATTCTGCGTGCGTCACTCCTTTGGTACTGTAGCAGTCATTTGGACCTGTGAATGAAACGAATATCCGCCCTTTCTTTCTGTCCCCTGCAGTGTTTGTGAGGACACTGCTCTCTATGTTGCACAGGTAAGGTCCAGCTTTAAACCAAAGCCATTTCATGTGACTTCTGTGGACTCCACACTCAGGACACCTGAGGTGGTACCCTCTGTGTGTCAGATACTGAACTGACGTCACAAAACACCACATCCCCATCTCCCTTCCTTTGGCGTTCAGTGGGCTCCATCGTGTGGCCGTGTGCGGGGGAAGTATAAGGAATGTCCACTGGAAGCTTGAGCAGAGAGGAGGTATTATTTATCAAGGCAACACAGTCCAGAGTGCAAAATTAGAAGGATCTGATGAGGTGTTTTTTTTTTAGGTTGGTGATAGACTGCATTGCACTATATGAGCAAAGAACAATAGTGAACTATGCATGCATGCCCCACTGAGATTATCTGAGGTCGTGTTTGTTGACCCACATCTCTGATTTTCCACTGAGTGCGGGAAAGTGGGGCAGAATATAAAATGTACTTTAGTCCCCACTGGGTTCACCAGCTACAGAGGGCTTTTCAAGTACTTTTGAGTTGTGGCCATCTCCCTGAATTCTGCTACTTAAAGAAGCTCATCATCATGGAACATGTTTTAATGGTACCCTTTAAAAATAAACTATTTTCAAGCTTTTTATGCGAGATTTCTATTTTCAATTCTGCAATGAAAGTTACTTCTGAATAAAATACTCCCATTAAGCAACATCTTTATAGATCAAAACAAAAAAAGCTCTACATTTCTTATCCATTTAGTTCATGCTGTTTAGTATTAGTCTTATCAATGAATGCCACACATAATGTCTAATGGTGATGTCCAATGGTTTAAAATGACTGTAAAATGAGTTGAACATTTCTAAACAATTTGCAACAGTAGACTGTAGCTGCACGAGTAAACAGTTTTACAGTTTTTCAGAAACTGAAATCACTCTGTCACTCAGATAGGCATATGAATGTTTTCTAATGGGCCAGCCGAGTTAAACAATAACTGCAGTTAAATTATCTATTTTTTATTTATTTTTTTTTTTTAAAAGAGGACATTTTGCCTTTGTCTGCAGCCTCCTCCTGGCAGAAAATGTCAGGCTTACAGCAAATAGCTTTGCAGTTCTAGGGCAAACCCCAAACCACAAAAACAAAAACTCTAGTCTCTGTCAAAGTTTTCAATGTTTTGTGGAGCAAGCAGGTGTCATATTCCTGCAAATGTGCAGACGTCTGTTAAGATACTAGATGCAGGAAAATACTTTTCTGTCATCTTTTATGACACATTACCCAGATCTCAGTTCTTCAGAGCTTCCATGGAAGAAATTTAACACCAAACAGGTGTCACCTGCATGGAATCTCTTTTGAGCGTAAATAGCCCTGTGAGACAACTGATTATCTGTACTGTTAAGCAACCATAAAATGTATTTTCTTTCTTAAATACAACTTATCTGCAAATGTATAGGAAGTATGACAATAAAGAGAGACTCTGCAGTTTGTTTGTCCTTTACATGAATACTTTTTATAACACAAATAAACAAAGTGGTTGGTTGACATCATGATAAATAAAATAAAATACAATATACAATCTGATCTGCAACAGAAGTAAGCCCCCCTCTTGGATGAAACCCAATCAGTCGCTCCTCACCGACTATGTTTTTTTTCCTGACTGGTGGCTGTTCTTGCATCACTGAACTCTTGCAGAAACTTTGTGGATAATATCACCAGGTGCTTGCGCTCCATTTCCCGGTCCTCCGTAACCAGACCCTGAGACGAGGATCAAGGACACCGGCCATCAGGTGTCGTCATGTGACTCTAAGTAAATTGGCTTGGCCTGCTTCCTGAGGCGCTGCTGTGCACGCAGCTTCCTGCCTTTCTGAGTGGCGAGGCCCAGTGGTGGGAGGTAGGTCTGCAGGAACACAGCAAAGTAAGGTAATGAGATAAAAAAAAAACACCTCAGCACCACCACAGCTCACACGTATCGCGTTTCTAATGTGTGATTATTACTTACAGCTCGCGGGTATGGATTCCTGTAATGTAGACCTGTTCAAACAAAGAAAGGAAAGTGAGAAAAAAAGTTTCTGTCATTGAAAACTGGCACCACTGAATCTAATCACAAAACAAAACTATTTCCAATACATGTCCGGGTTAATTCAGCATGCTAAAGTCAACTGAATGAAACTCTTAGAATCAAAACATCTCTTATTTGATTTGCACTGATCATCACATTTGGTTCATTGCAAATATACATAAATCTAATTACTATTATATGATGACCATGTCCAGCTCAAGGTAAAACCAGATTGATGGAAATATTGAATATTCTCCTCACTCATACCAATTTCTATCCTTGCGTCACATTCTTCTATACACTTCTTTATTGACTCTTGATCAGCGAGCTGAAAAGAAAAGCACAAAGGGAAAAATATTAGTCTAAAGGTGACTAAAAAATGACAGCCTTTCCGAATCTGTGAGCACAGTGATGCAGTTTACACCTGCTGGTTCTGTCGGAAGAGAGTCTTCGCCTCTTGCACAATGTACTCTCTCTCAGTCTGTGTGTCACTTTTCACACCACTCTGTGCCTGCCAGGTCCGAGCAATGCGAAACACGCGCATGTACAGAGCCAGCACTTTACTGCGAGTAGATGTCGTCATCAGGACTCAGAAATCAGAGTCAACAGTGTCCACCCCTGCAAAAAGCAAAATCAGGTGGGAGGACATTACAATATGAACAACACCCCTTTATAATGTAGTTGTGTAGCACACTGATATTCTCAGCTTTGTGCAGCTCGCTGCTGGTTTAATACTCATCCCTGGTTTATTTGATCATGTTCAGAAAAACTTGAGACTTTCAAATATATGCGGAAGGTTTTAACCACGGTTCTCTTTATAGTTACTGATCCCATTAGTGTTTTGGCAATAAAAACAATGACAACTACAGATTGAACTCTTAAAGTCAAGACACAAGAAATGACAGAGGACAGTGGTTTTTCAAATGTGAGCTCTCTTATTTGGCTTTGACTCCACAGTGTCCATGATATCCCAACAAAAAAACAAAAACATTTTGATAAGCTAAGGCTTAGATTTGGCAGTGGAAGCTGTGGCTCTTATTTATGCTTTTTTTAATTTTCTGCCTGGTAGCTTTAACCTTTGTATATGGGTATTGACTTGGATGATGGCAGTTTTCTAAATGTCTGTTTTTAACTCACTGTGAGCTGAGGGGTACAGAGGTCACTGCCTTGACATAGAGCAGGCCATCAATCTATCAAAACCACACAGAGAAACTAGTTGACAAACTATATGCACTCAATGTCAATTTTAAATGACCAATTAGCCTAACATGGGAGCTTTTATCTATGGAATGACGCTGATCTACTTTAAGGTAAACGCACGCATGAAAGCAGAAAACACTAACTCTACCCGCATGGTGTATAGTTTTATGTAGAATGAGCGATCCCATTATTTACCACTAGAAGCCACCAAAACGACAGCGTGTCTGTTTAATAAGCTGTTATATGACTAACAGAGATTTCTTACATGTTGGTATTTTCGAAATTAAACAAGATGCAAAAGCCTTTCCGTATGACATTGAACTGCTTGTGTTTCCTCACAGGGATATCATTACACTCTCGGAAAACGTTACCCCTGAAAGCCCGAGCGTTTATACACGAGGACATTTTCAACGAAAACAGTAATGGCAAGATTATTTCCACGCACATTCACAATCTGAGATTGAACTGCAGTAATACACAATTAATTCAAAACATACCACAAAACGTGACCTACCGGCTGTGAAGGAAGAAGCGACAAAAGCTTCCATGCACAGCAACAACTCTATTGTCGCGTGATGATGACGTTTCCCGGAAGAACTTTTTAGAAAAATCTTTATTGATACATAGAAAGTTGTTGCTTCTGTTCTGTTGTTAGGTGTTAATGCCATGCACGTTTGTTCCATACAGGCATCTCGCAGATGCAGCCTGTCCCTAAAAAAACTGAGAAAACTGAACAAGTGGAAAAGAAATAAAGTGTTTGCATAAAAAAAAGAGGTTTTACAATAGGAGATCAGAAGCCTTCATTTGAATGGTAGCTACCAAGTAGAGATTATTAAGGAAAGGAAACATGGACAATAGGTTGTGGAATTTCAAATGACATAATAAGGGAACTGAACACCAGTCAAAACAGATGTTATTCAGGGATAAATCTTTCCTTGAGCCAGGACCTTCACATTAATGAGGCAATGCGGAATCATTATGACAAAGAATGGAGGGAAATACAGCCAACATCCAAACAGGAGCTCTGGAATGTCCTACAAGAGGCATGGGTAACTATGCCATAAATAAAAGAAAGGATTCTGACTTTGGTTAAAGAATAAAAAAAAAGACTTACATACCAAATTTAGACTTTCAAGTTCATTAGAATAACAAAACACGGTTTTGTTTTTGTCCTATTTACAACATGTGGGGCTCAAAAGGTTAAGATATGTTGGTCCTCTTTTAAGTATGGGATTTTTCAAAATCACTCATCTAACGGTAAATATTTGCACCATATGCCTTAGATTACAAAATACTGCATTACTTTTTAGCTTAATGTATAAATTCATTTGGATTAATCTCACCTTGACATGACTTGAATCCCTTTAATGACTTGAATGAATGACTTGACATGACAAGTGAGATTTAAGATCAAAGTTGATCAGATTTATTATTAGTACCATTAGTCATAAAACACAATAGTTGAGTTAAAATATTCTATGAATACTGCTTGTGATGACTGTATTTGTGTTTTATAGTCACCCTGTGTGACAGTACTTGTTACTAGAAGGCCTTTAACTTAATAAAAAAAACAGGAACATATATATACACTTTTTTTTAATTATCTTTTGACATATAATTGTATTGACTCAAGATTCTGCTAGTGCTTTATATCAGCATCAACTTTAACCAACATCTTTTTGGTGTAAATGTTTTCTATGTCATCTTTAGTCACACAAAATGCAACTAAATATTATAAATCAACACAAATCCAAAATACATTTATGATAGCATACCTTTTTATTTTTTTAATAAAAAAAGGCCCCATAGGTCCTACTAGGGTCAAAAAGTCTGATGGGTCACCAAATATGATGTTACGCCATCGTTCAGATGAAGATCAGCTGTTGGCTGTTTGTGGGGAGGAAGTGATGCAGGAAAATGTCCATAATGTAGCTCCACTCAATGACTAAAAGGGGGAAGCACAAAGAAATAGGCTGCTGTGGTCCGACTTGATCTTTTCACTCATTTTTTTAAAAGAGAAAACACCATTTAAAATGCATTCAAAGAGAAAGTCTTGTTGCTAAGTTTGTGCTCATTTATTTTGTAATGGCGGAATAGAATTTGGCATTGATGTGGAAGTTTTGGGGTGTTTTTTTCCCGTCGCTGTCCGCTAGTAAGCTAGCAATTTGAGTGAACGCGACGAGTTTGCCTCAGTTCGTTTCGAGACGTATTTGGATAACTTATTTATATATTTCATTTGTACTGGCACTCCTGGAGGGATGTAGATCTAAATTCTCCACAGCGGATTTTTCCATGAAGGTTAGTTCCTTTTTTCGAACATTTATGCTACTTTCCGTTGTTTGAATCGGAAAAAAACCTAGCTTAGCCGATAGCTAACTTTTAGTAAAGCGAGCAGATGCTAGCTAGCTATGGCGACGTTGTCAGGGCCAGGCAGCTCAGATGTAGCTGTTAAAAGATCCGGTGATGGGGATGTATCGTTGATCAATAGCTGTTCTATGAACGTCACCATAATAAACGTGTACCGACACGAACTGTTGGTTTTAAAAGATTATGGGAGCACTGTTTACGTGTCATTTTAAAGTATTTCGCGAGTGCTGTTAAGCTCACTTGATCCTGTTCGAGTGCTCGCCTCTTTCCAGCAATAACAATTTGTTAAAATACAGCTAATGCTGACATAAGTCGAGATAAATAAGAGACACTCAACTGAGGGTGTCTGTTGACAGCAGTGATGCAGATGTGACCGATTTGTATTCTAGCTCTACTTTTCCTCTGACCCCTCTAACACTGGTTAATCTGGTTAAAGTCTTGGTCGGATAAGTTACTATGTGTTTGCTAAATTGTCATGCTAGTTTATTATGGATAAGTAGGACTTCAGAGGTCAGCGAGAATAAAAAATGGGCCAAACCCATCGGTGGGGGACTTGCCTCTACATGTCCGGAGCACTGACCAGAGCAGTTAATGTTGCCCTGATGGTGAACGCTTTGATCAGTGTTAAAGCAAGACTTTAGTGATGGCTGATCCCGACACAGGGTTGGGGTTCGTTTCAGATGAGAATTGAAGGTCTGTGATGCTGTTGTAAGCGTGCTGTAATTCAGCCTGAAACCTGTATCTGTGCCCTGTGTGATGTTGTTTACTGAACACGTGATACTGGACAGGAAACCTCAGAAAGGTCTGCTCCAATCCCCACTGCACGCTATATATTTAGTAAAATGAGTGTCAATTGTCTTTTGGTTTGGTTTTTTCTTGCTGGTTTCCAACGATCCATGGGGTGAAATAGCAGTAAGATGAAGAGCTGAGTGGGGCTCAAATTACATACTCGGAGCATGTTGACGAAAATAGTTCCTGCAGGTTTGGGAACGATGAGCTGTCACTTTCTGCTCATGATGACCAGATAATGTGTCTTTTCAGCGTTGCGGATTTCAAGGTCACAATGATGGACCAGAAGTGAAAGACAATGCCGTCTGAAGGAGCGTTTGTAAGTACCATCCTCATCAGCTGCTCTGCCCGTTAGAAAGCACATGACCGTCTCATGAATTTTGTGTGTGCGAGTGGGGCAGCAGAACAAGTGCACATGACACCTCGCCACTTTGCATAATTGACTTGGTCCAGGAGAGAAAATCCATCCATCTGAAAACCTCAGTTTGGCAACACAGTTTTGTATCAGTTAATGATGACAATACCTGATGTCTCACTTTTTGGTTCTGTGGTTTCTCACCACTGACAAAACTGCTAACCAGAGGAACACTAAGTGGGACAGTGTGTAAACTATAGATTTATTCTCGTCTGAAAACAAAAATCCTATCATGGTGCTTTTTTTCAAGTGGAGTCACTTTCAGAACAAGGATTCTGCCTATAAATGTATCCCAATTCAAGTGATCACATAATCAGCGCTGCCAGTGTGATGATCTAACAAATGCAAGTAAGAATTGAGCAGTGATTGTCCACTTAAGCTAAAAACACCCCTTAAAAAAACATTAAGCGACTCAAAAGCACTTGGTGACGTTGTCGATCATGTGTCTGAATGCAAATAGAGCCCGTACTTGTTTCTGTGGTTTGCTGTCATGTTTTTTTTCTTGTATTTTGTTCTTACATCTGCTCTTTCTTAACCCCGGTATTTTTTTCTGGTCTTGACCTTTTGTAGGGTATTTAAGTTTTCCAGTAGAGGAATTTCTTGGTGACGGATCTGGCACAGGTAGCTCACCTCTCCATCCTGTCCTATGTGAGTTCATGCTCTGATTAACATTTACATTTAGATTTTTCTCTTGTTTTTCTGATTCATTTGCGCACTGCGCCCTGTGGTGACCAGCGTGTTGATGTGCTGCTCCGTAGGCCTGAGGGTATGTTGACACGTCTTGCGGGGCCAAAGCAGAGGTGTCTGGGCGCTTTGGACAGGGTGTGAAGGAGAGGAGGAAAGCCAAACGAGGGACCAGGGAGGAAGACATGGGCCAGTGCGTCACCAAGTGTAAGAATCCGACGTCCTCACTCGGCAGCAAGAGTGGAGACAAGGAGAGTGGCTCCAAGTCTCATAAGAAAGGCGGCAGTGCAGGCGGCGGGGGCCACAAAGAAGAGCTCAGTGTCACATGTAGCAAGGCCACCAGCGAGCTGTCCAACGGCACCAAGCCCTCAGAGGTTACAGTGGAGACCCCCATCATCCCCACCATGACCGGGGACCTGGCCAAGGAAACCCTGGACGGAGAAGGCCTGTCCCTGCTGCGTATGGAGGAGCTGTTCCACTGCTACAAGGACGAGCTGGAGGATGCCATCTTGGAGGAGGGCATGGAGAGGTTTTGTTATGATCTGTGCGTCGACCCGGCAGAGTTCCGCGTGCTAGTTCTCGCCTGGAAGTTCCAAGCAGCCACAATGTGCAAATTTACAAGGTAAGCTGGAGTTCTGGGAACAGGCTTGTTTTGTTGAAATTTTTTTTATTTTTTTTAAATTTTTTTATTTATTTTTTTTTTACTTGGCTGCTGCTGTCTGTACTCGGGGTGAGTCTTACTATTGCTGAACTGCCCTTAAAGCATTTTGGCTAGCTTGAAAAACAGGTGAGCTTACGAATAATGAGTGCCTCAGCCATGAGTTTTGAAACTTGTTCTATATGACAAAGCCATCAGCTGACAAATGTTGTAAATATCTTTTTAGTGGAACACTTGCTTCACCAGCAGTGACTCACAAAGCCACCCCTCCCGAGCACACTCCTCATACTTTAAAACCAGACTATTGATACCTCTCCACATGAGTTGAAACATGCACAAAGCTTCCTGCTCCTGTCAGATTTCTGTTCAGTTGGACAGACCTGGTCGCATTTGAAAGGCAGGGTTTTATAGATCCCCTATGTGAGAGCATGCGGTGAGCTCTCTAGTATCCTGGATGTGGAGGGATTTTTATGGAGAAGCCTGTCCTCAAAGTGTCAAATATGTTTTTTTTTCTTTCAGAAATCTGGATAAGGTATCCGACTGGTTTTAAGAAACCAGCCACTTGCAAGGCCCTTATCCATTTGGGCATACTGAGAAAAGAAATAAAACACACCCAGGCTTTATTTTGTACATTCATTATTGAAAGCCTCTGATGCACCTTTGTCGTACCTAATGTTGTTTGAGAATAAAGGGAAGGATTAGTGACGCTCCACCACATCACCTGCTGTTAGTCTGACTCACAACATGTCGATTTAGTACAATTTCAGCAGCACTGACATCTTTACAGGAAAATGTTGGTCTTGGACAGTAGTGGATTACCACTTTTATCTGGGTGTTTTTTTCTATTGTTAAGAAAAGCTAAATGAGTTTACTGTCCTCTTTAGTGCACTTGTAGCTTATTATTCACAACTGATTCTGTGCAAATGTTTCTTGATTCTTACATCCACTCTAACATTCACTTCCAGTGAATAGCTGCTTCCAGACTGTTCCTCTTTCCTGTGCTCCTCAGAGGATTCCCCGTCACTTCAGACTCTTACTGCACTGCAGTTAGGAACACACACCAGCATGTTTTGCTAATTCTTGACCTTTTAGCTTGACTTAGCTCTCAAATTGAACCCCTTCTTACCTGATCCTATTCTCTCCTGAACCATGACATTAAGTCAAATTCCTCCTCTAGTCTCTGAATTTTTGTATTGTTAATTTTTAAACTGTATACATCTAATTTGGTGGCATTCACAAAATCCCGGCCATTTCCATTTGCTATTGTCAGCATACATCGCACAATATTGGCCAATTTATGTAAGGGGACCAGCCAGGTAGGAGAAAGGTTTAGAAAGTCTTAAAATGTGTATATAAATATAGAAACAATTATTAGGTTGGTGCTTTGTACATTCTTGCCTAACATGGGGGGATCCAGAACCCAACCCCTGATGAGGAACTACTGTACATGAATGCACCGTTACCTACTGTAACTCGTCTAACCCTAACCCCCCCCTCCTCCTCCGCTCCCCGACAATTAACTCAGCACTTTTCCATCCAGTGGCTTCGGACAAAACCATTCTGGTAACCAACATGCTTCATTGTCAACTGATGCTTACTGAAGCTCTTTATATTACATTTGACTTTGAAAAGCCTGCACAGCTCCTGTAACAAAGTGTACCGTCCAACGTCAAAGCCCACAGCGGCGTGTCCTCCCTGCAAACCCTGCACAGATTTCAATGGTTTGTGATGTTATGACTGTGTGTGTAATTGGTGGGTAGAAGCTGCATGTCACCAGTAAAGGGATCACTGTGGCACTGTGACCTAAACTGGACTTTTTATCATTTATTTAAACCTGCTTTGCTCTGTGTAGAAACCTAATATATGGGATTGTCCTCTAAAGCAGAGAGGCTCCATAATGACTGTAATGTATATCTCTGCTCTGCTTTCTACAAATGTACGGTACTTTGTATTTAAGCTCTGTCTGCTTCTGCATGTTAGATGTTACTGACTGGTAAATCATGTTTCTGAGGCCTGTTGTTCAGAGTCGCTGTTCTGTTCTGACATCTGGTCCATTTTCTCTGTGTCATCAGGAAGGAGTTCATTGAGGGCTGCAAAGCCATCCAGGCAGACAGCATCGAGGGGATCTGTTCGCGGTTTTCCTGCATGTTGCTGGAAGCCCAGGGCGAAGAGAACTTCAAGGACCTTTACCGTTTTACCTTCCAGTTTGGGCTGGACGCTGACGAGGGCCAGCGCTCGCTGCAGCGCGACATCGCCATCGCCCTGTGGCGTCTGGTCTTCACACAGGACACGCCGGAGATCCTGGAGCACTGGCTGGACTTCCTCGCAGAGAACCCCTCGGGCATCCGCGGCATCTCCAGAGACACGTGGAACATGTTCCTCAATTTCACCCAGACTATTGGGCCAGACCTCAGCAACTACAGCGAGGACGAGGCCTGGCCCAGCCTCTTTGACACCTTCGTAGAGTGGGAGCTGGAGCGCCGGAGAAAAGAAGAGGAGCGAGCCCTGATGGCAAAAGGGGAGGAGGGCAGGTGTACTGACACAGAGTGCACTCCCACTACAGACAGACTTGAAACAGAGGGAAGCCGCGGCTCACAGACGTGGGGAGGCCACTGACCAGAAAAACAGGATGTCCGTAAGGGAGGAAGTCAACTTCACCTAGAAGTGAACTGAGTATCTGTGAATCATTGAATGAATATTAGTATTACCATTTCAGCTGTGCATTTAGCTCCCCTTTTATGTTGGGATGGGATTTCTGCTTTTTTTTTTTGTGCTGTTTTTGAAAGGGCTCTAAAAACTGTTTTAAGCACTTCTATTTAAGTTATTGTTTGACTTTTTTTATTTTTTATCCTTGTGTTTTTAGGAATCGGACATGTGGTCCATTTTAATGTACGCCTTCCTGCCATTACCCAGCAGAGTTAAGCCATAACCTTTTCCCGCACAAGATTTGTATCAGGAATAAGATTCTCATATAGAATAAGGGACATTTTTGGCAGCCTGCATGCAAATAATTTCTTACTGTCAAACATGAGACGCGACATAAATTGTCAGTGAAGTTTACTGGATTGGTGTAATTTAGGTAGATTGTAAGGTCATATTTTGCAGTGCCGCGTGGATTAATTGGTTTCATGAGCATTGCCTCTACAATTAACACCCAACATTTACATTTCACGCAGTGAGGGCATCTATTTGCAGAAAGAACACAAATTCCATTCACATTGTTGCATATCGTATTTGAATGATCATTTTAAACCTTCGGTCCACAGGCCCAGCCTCTTCTCTGCACCAAGTGTTATGAGTGCTACATGTAGTTTGGTGAAGCAGCTGCTGTGTTTTGTTTTTTTAACCCCCCCAATCCACCCATTTGATGTCAACCCATTTTCAAGCAGTATGCAGCTAAATGATGTTGGCTTTTTTCAGCTGCACTCAGTCTAACTAAAACTTAACCTGAACCTAAATCTGCATTACATTGAGCACAACTTTGACTGGGCGCATCACAAAGTTGATGTTGTCATATCCTCATACTGATATACAAGAAATCATTTTAAAAGGTGTGTACATTTCACAAAATAATATTAACTTCTGCTGGTTTTGGTCGTAATAAATTGCACAGAAACTAATGGCATGCTAACTTGCTGTACTTGGCACATCGCTGAGAGATTGGTGATAATCTCGTATTACCATTTTGACACCTTTTTTTCCAAATTGTAAATCAGTATAGATTAGAGTGTTTTGGAATGAGTGTTAAATTGACCTGCTGGTTAATCAAGACTGTGAGAAGAGTAACAGGGTGGCCATCACCTTATTTCTTAGGTTTACATCTACTATGGTTTTATTTCACCCCCTTTCGTTTTTTTTATATGAAATGTACTGATTTATAATAAATAAAAAAGTATTGAAGTTTTGACCACGGACATCGGGGTTATTCTGCTTGCGGACGGCTGTCCGGCTGGGATTGAGGCGGACTGGACCGGAGCTGGGGGCGTGTCCAACAGGGATGCGACTCTTCGCATTGGTCGATAAACTATCCTGGTTACCAACCAACACAACAGCGGACACATGAGAAAACGCAAAAAAGGAGAGAAAAAAAAAAGAAAGGGTACTTGAAAACTAATGCCTGAAAATGTGGCGGCATGCAACAACAGTAAGTGTGTCTCTTACTTATCGTAATTTAAGTCAAGTGTGTAGAAACATTTTAAACCGCGTCCGTTTTTTTTTTTTCATGGAAATTACTTGCATGCTAACCCATTAGCCGTTCAGTTTGTTGTGAGCGGCGGTGATAGCTAAATGGAGCAAGGTGCTAACGTTGCCTCTGCGTCTAACCACAGGATTCCCTTTGTGCTTCTAAGTGTCCTCAGTTTTGTTGGAATTGAGCAGAAAGCGTTGGCTCGCTTGTAACGACAACTTGCTAGCTATGAATGCCAAATAAAGAGGACAAGCGCAGCCACACGTCAACCCCCGGAACGGTTACTCGGATTCAAGGGGCATCTAGTTGTTGAGATATAGAGTTGTCAAAGAGATTTGACAAAAAAAAACCCAAAATGTTCTAAAAGATATATAACGTTAATAATATGCTCTTTTGGTATTTTCCCTCTGCTGTGTCGCCCGTCGGGTGTGGCGACATTTTTAAACGAGCTCATTCTTGTGAGGTGGAATTCATGCCTCGGCTAACCTTGGGCTTCTCACCTGTGCCACCCTGCAGTGAGGGGAGAGTACAGCACAGATTTCACATCCACATTTGAATGACCTGCCCTCTTCAAATGATGGGATAGTACCAACGGAACACAATCTGCAACACAATGGATGACAAGGTAAAAGAAGGGTTATGCAACAGCCCGACTTGACTGAATTTTTTAAGGTCACATCATCTATAATTTCCCTCTACAACACTCCCTGTTCCTAACATGCAGGGATTAACCACAGCTATGCATGCTTCAGCCCTATCTGAGCTGCCACTGTGCCTTTACTCTGTCACTAACAACTATTTTCTATTGTTTCCTTATAATGCCTTTGCCTCCCCTCTGCTCCTGACTCTGACAGATGCTAGTTGACTTTTAAAAACTAAGTAAGAGCCTTGTGGTTTACTTGTTTGTTGCATGATTATCTCTGCTAGGAATGGCATGAGCTGGAAGTGACTGTTAGGTAAACACACGTCCCTCCTTTCACAACACACCAGACTTTTTTGTTTCCCTGAAACTGGCACCTTATGGTGCTTTTACAGGAGGTCCATTTACTTTAGCATACTGATGTCTGAACCACACCCATAACAAAATTTGTAGTCCCGATGTAGTTATCCTAGTGTTTCTATTTTCAATTAGTTTGAAGACGGTTTAATTGCACTAACACCAATATCATAATTTCATTGCTACACGGAGATGGGTTTTCACTATTTCTGCTCCCTTCTTAAGCCCATTACTTACACCGAATGTCCATTGAAGCCTTTACCCTCTGATGTTAAACTGACTGTATACTGACTGTATTTTTTAAATGTATTTGTCATCATGAAATGGCTCCTTTTTCATTATGCAGAGACATTACTGCAGGATCTAAAACCTCTTCTTTTAGTGACAGTTCCAGTGCATACAAGGTAGCTCCACTATTAAAGATCCACTTTATTCTTACAGGCTTTGCAAGGAAGTGATTATTGAATTATTTTTTTAAAAGACCTTGGATCATGCTGAGTCGGTGGGGCCCCCTAGTTTTTTTTCCATTCTTTCAGCAGTATTTTCTTCTATTATCACAACTGTGGTTAAATCTGCAGACCTCCTGTAATAGGTATTGTGTCAGTAGTGAAATCAGCACACACTGAACAGCCTGACATATGATTACACACCCTGTAGACAGAAAGAGCAAAATGCATGTATGAATGTTGTCATGCACCAAATTGACTCGATATAGGTTGTGAATGTGAGTACATGTGCTAGGATATTTTGTCTGCGTGTGTTTTTTTTCACTCTTGCAGCATTTGTAAGCTTTTCTGACTCTTCATTGCGTGTTTGTTTACTGATGCATGTGGTCTTGAAGGAGAGTAAGGCGTGCCAAGGGGAGAAGCTCGCCTCTGCTGTGGATGACACTCTGGATGAATATTTAATCGCCCTCCAGCACAAAAACAGGTGAAGTGTGAACACATGCTGCTGCAGACGGTCAGATTGGATATCACTGAGGAGACTCCACCTTGACTTCGAGTGGTGCTCAACAGCAGCACTGATTGGCTGGGTTACCTCCAATGAGAGAAGGAAAACATTTACATGTGAACGATGGAAATATACATGTTTAGAGAAGATTGAGGATGTGTTTTTTTAATTAAGTATATACAAGCAGGAGTCCTGAATGATTTCCTATCCTAGAAGAAAATCTTGGTGGATGGATCTGTTCATTTTCATGAAGAGCTATCTCTATCCCTTCAGGATCTTAAAGCGTCTCAGAGTGAAAAGCCCCAAAGAAATTGAGTTGGAGCGACTTGAGCAAGGTTTTTCTATCTATCTTAACGGAGCCAATGCTGAATCCAGTAGGAAGGATCTCAAGGGGCCCAACAATAAGTCAAGTTTTTCTCTGCCTACCTGGAAGCCAGCACGTACAGACGGTATGCCGCTAGATGACATTCTGATATAAGACACATCTTGCTGTATAAGTCTTTTTATTTATTTATTTTTCCCTAATTGCAGTAGGAAAAATAATGCAAATATTGTCATATGCATGAAGTTAAAAGTACTGCCCCATCCTTTTTTTCATAGTTTCTGTCATCTGTTGACCATATGGAGCACCAGCTAACTGCCACCGCTCCTCAGCTTGTAGTTTGCATGGTGTGATCCCATTCCCAGATCTGGTGAATAAATGATAGTGACAGTTGTAGTTGGCAGCCTTTTTTTAGATTTTCTTTCCTTTTTTTCCCTCCTAATTCTTCCTTCATGTGCTGTGGACCATCTGCATATGTGACTGCGTGTTCCCATTCCTCTGAGGCAGTAGTCTGCCGTTTGTGCTCATGCTCCTCTCAGTGCTGTGACTCATCCACAGATGTCTGTAGAAGCGCCCACCAGCTAACTCAAGACAGCCATAATCTGGATAAGACTACCGGGAAGAGGAGCCAAACCGCACCAGAAAAAGTCCAGAGGAAGGAATGGGTGCAGGTACAGCCCTGCAGTTTCTTAATCTGTGATTATGTCATTTGATAAAAAACAAAAATAGCATGTTACAGTTATGCTTTCCCTGTTTTTATATACTCAGGATTCTGTTAAAATTCGAACTGAGAATGGACCAAGTGTGCAGATATTCCCTGAAACGCGCTACTCTGAAGATTTTGAGCCCTATGAAAGCATAGACATGGAGGTAGAGTGAAGATTCCTACTAAGGCAGTATGTGTGGGTGTTTTTGTGTTTAGGGGAAGAGCTGTGTGTCAGATGCAGCTGGCCACACTGTTTTGCATCTCACTGTCTTTGCGTTTTCCCCCCATCATGCAATTATACTGTTTAATACAGAGATCCAGTCCGCGCTCGCCGCTTAGTCCGCGCTGCCAAAGAGACGCCTGCAAGGTTTCACACTCCTTCAGCTCCAGGCCTGAGAGCCAGGGTGGCCAAGCCAACCAGGAGCACAGCGAAAAGGTGTTGCTCAACCTGGAGGAAGTGAAGGTGATCAGAGAACGATGGCACGAGATGCAATAAATTATCCAGATATGGTCCACACTGAGTATCGATGCAGAAATAAAGACTGACCTTTTGCAAATTAGGTTCTGCGACGGAGCCTGGAGGTTAGCATGCGACGGACCAGCAGTGGCTCAGCGGGGGAGGAGTCGGACGAAGAGTGGGTGGAGGAGCAGATCGAAAGGGATGAGAGCACAGAGAGTCTGGATGAACTGGGGCTGCCCCTCTCCTCATCCAAGTCCTCCTCCAATTCTTTGCCAAGCGGGACTCATCGACATTTCGACTCAACAAACCTCATTGTCTTGGACTTTGGACCCTCCCCTAAAGGTTTGTTTGTGTAGAAATTTCAAAGAGGCAGTATATCAGCAGTTACCTAGTGACCGTCCACATTTCACTCATCATGATCTGCATGTTAGATTCAGATCAGTGAATAGCTCTGCTCCTGTTCTGACAAAGATTTCCCTGTTTTCTCAAGGTCGCAAGATTGAACGCTCTCTCTCTGCCAAAAGGAAAGAAAGCATTGATACCTTTATTCCAACCAAGCCGATGTTGGTGAAGAGCAAAACATTAGACAGGCCGCCTTCAAAAGAGAGCTGGGATTGTCAAAGTAAGTTTGCTCGCTTAAAAGCATTTCACTAAATAACAATTTATTCTTAAAGGTGTTAATTTACCTTTCATAAGGGCCACGGAGTCGAGTGGAGAGGCCTCTGTCAGCAGCCAGGAAGACTTCTTTTGAGGAGCGAGACTCAGAGGATGTTGCATACAGGGTGCGACAGGCAATACAGAGAGAGAACACGCCCGTCCAGCATGCTGAGCTCTTTGGTCGCAACACGGTCAGCTTGACTACACTTCTTCCATCTTCCTTGAACTCATGACACTGCCTTTTCTGTTCCGTTATCTGATGGTCAGAGTCTTACATGCAGTATCTTCTGAATTAAACACAGATTTTTCCTCTCCCTGTTCACCTGTATGTGTGTGTGTGTGTGTGTGTGTATATATTTTTTTGCTTCCTGTCTTCCAGGCCCGGGGACACCAGATGATGAATGGTTTGAAGCACCACAGCGCCCATGACAAGGATGAGAGTCATGTCTCTCTGGCCATGCAGAAAATAACGCTCATGGGCCCAAGGTTTGCTGTCATTCACACAGTCTCCATATTACACAATTAGCACAGCGATGGAGAGATGACCGGTTCTTCTGGACCGTTTTTTATGGTGTTGCATCTGAACCTAAAGTTAAAAATAAATGGTGTGCCCATGACGTTACCTTGAAGGATTATTTACTGGCATAGCTTCCGTGGTGCTCAGCCATCACTCAATAGGAAGGTCAGACACAACACACTTGGGAGATGAGCTGACGGTGTCATAATTCTGCTCAGGCAGCAACAGAAACTGCTAAAAGCCTTGGAGAAACTCGATGCTGGACCGAGTCACTACAGTCCTCAGAGTGTCCGAACAGACTGCAGCAGGCAGCCGGTCAGTGAGCAGCACTGTCTCACACATCAAAATGAGCAATCCCCATAGCGCTGGGTGTCCCTCACTGCTTTTCTGTTGCAGAGGCGGCAGTCATCAACAGAAGTCACCCCAGCGTTGTATGTTACTATGGAGATCCTGTCAAACTGGGGGAACACGCTGCTGGTTGGGCTGACTGAGTTGCAGTTCTTCTGCCTCAATAACAAGAAGTTGTATGTGTCGCCCCATGACCTGGACATCAGAAATGCTGACTATCCGGGGAATCTCGGGGCGCTGGTCAATGGAAAGGTGAAGGTGAGTAGCCGCTGGCTCAGCAGCCTGTTCCAGCGAGTGCTGCTGCACAAACTAAATCTGTCCGGTCAGACTGTCAGATCAATGTTATTAGTTATACCTGTTCAAATGCATTTGCCCGGACAAAGCCTTTGTGTACCTCTCATTTTCTAAAAAGAAAATATTTGTTGAACACATGTTTTTTTTAGCATTAGTATATAATTACATTTTGGTTTTCATTTTTCCCTTTGGGTGGATTCTCTTGGATTCATAGACCACAAAAGAGCGCAACATGTGGACGTGTCCCTTTCACCCCCCCATCCAGCTTTACTTCATTATCAGGAACACAGAGCGCTCCCCAGATTTTGGAATATCCTGTATCAAAATCTGGAACTATAACAGAAGTCTTAATGTAAGTGCACTTCATTTTTGCATAAGGCACTTTTTGTATGTTATATTATTTCATTCTTAAATGACTTCAGTCACCACAGCTGGGATCTGTCATACTGAGATTGTTTTTTTTTGTTTTTTTTTGTATTTTATCTCGCAAATGATCCTAGGCTTTGTGTCCTGGTTGTAAGAGTTGACTGTGTTTACGTCAGGGGTTCAGTTGTTTTAAGCTGTGGTTGGCCGAGCTGCCTGTCACTTTATCCAAATGTGGAACACTGGGAGATTAGCCCCAGAGGATTAGTGCAGCATGGGTCGTTGCCTCTGAGCACTACTGTTGTTCATAGAATCCAAAGACCCCCTCGTATGGTTGTTGATCACAGTAGTATTTGCTTTTCTGCAGTATCTGTAAAAGTGAACAGGACCTTCAACATAGAAGGTAAGGAACCCCTTTGTGGGAAGAAGATATTTAGAGTTTACCGCCTTAGAGGATTGAGCAGCTTTGAGACGTTGGTGGCGATCAGACTAATTACAGCTAGCCTGTAAGCAAACTCTTGTATCAAATGGTAAACCTAATATCTAGTCTGCCATCTTTGTGTATGTTTTTTTTTTTTTAACTACACTTCTATTTACAGTAATAATGTAAAGTTGGATTTGAACAATTCACCCTGAAGGCTTCAAGGATCTATTGTGACTAGAATGAAGTATTTGGAAACATTGCAGCATTAAATGTCTCAAAAAGTCATAATCCTGTTTCTTTCACAGGAGCTTGACGTTGGTGCGCGCCACATAAAGTTGTATCTTAACAGCACGTTGGTGTTTGAGGGGGAGCTGGAGAAGGGCTGCGGAAACCAAGTCTTTGATTACAGCACCACGGTTGATCTCCAGGATTTCCAGGTCTCAGACTCGCTGTTCTCCAGCCCTGTGTCTTCAAGACACAATCTTCAAAGTGCAAGCGCCCATCACTATGAGGACAGGACGGTGGGAGAGGGCAGCTCTACTCAGAGATACCAGAGTTTGAATCCATTTTCAGACGTAGCCGGCAAGACTATGGTAGACATGCAGGAGAAATCGCATGCGACGCTACCACCCATCGCCTCTTCAGCCGGTGGTTCATGCTCCACTCATCACCAATCCCTACAGAGAAACTCTTTTGACCTGTCTGCCTCAGAAGAGCCTCTCTCCCCCAGAGAGCAAGCGGAGCAGCCAGCACCCATGGAGCAGACGGTCACCACCCAGCCATCCTCTCGGGTTGCCCCTCAGTGGCTGCAGCCCCTGAACAGAGGTGCTCCTGAGGGCTGCGAGACCAGCAAGGAGAGGCCACGCTGGCTGATTCCTCAGCAGTCAGCAGAGCTTAAAGCATCTCCAGCCTCATCCTCCATGCTCCCCGAGCTGCCCTGTAACCCAGGCCGGGTGTGCAGGGGGGGGGATAGGACCATGAACGGAGGACAATGGAAGGCTGACTCCTTGGACCTGAGCTGTGACTTGCTGGAAGAGCTTGGAGAGCAAAAGCCAGACCGGCACATCAGTGGAAGAAGGAGCTCGTTCAGAAACTCCTCAGCCTCTGTTCGGCAAAGAGAGGAGCAACACCACAGAGCTACATCAGCCACCAACTCTGGTAGGTGGTTTCTACCTCCTTTCAATGTTAGAAATATGTTTAAAAAGCATTACTCCGAATTCTAGTTGTTATTAATATCTTTAACAGTTTTCTGCTTCCCAAACAAACTCACAGCAATCATTTTAGAGTATTAAAATACTGTGAGAATGACACCTCATGCTAATCTTTAAAAAAAAATTCATGCAAAAAGTCGATTAGTTTAACTGCAGATGCACATAATGAGCTCTGGCTTTTTATTTGTTTTTAGAATACTTTTTTCCTCAGTTGGCTTGTAGTGCAGAAGCTGTTGCTTGTGTGTGTGTGTCCCCAGAGGAGCCCTTGTCTTTGGTGAGCACCAGCAGGAGGCAGAGCAGCTCTCGGGCCCAGCTGCACAGTCACCAGGATGACACCCTCATGGAGTCATGGGACTCTCTCACCAAGTTCAACCAGTGTCAGCGCGGGCGCATTTCCAACATGGGCTTCGAAGGTGACATATTTGACGAGTTCCTGCAGCGTCAGGGACGGGGCCCCCCCACAGTGCCTGTCACCCCCACTGCTGCATCCAGGAGTCCACTGTCTCCACTAACCAGTCAGGGGCCGCAGTGTGAGGGCCCCGATGATGATCCATCATTGGAGCGGGAGGATGATTTTGAAATCCCGGTGCTGCCACAGGGCCAGAGGTTGGTAATGAATATTCTGTCCACCTGGGGGGATCGCCACTACGTGGGCCTCAATGGCCTTGAGGTGTTCAGCTCCAGCGGAGAGCCCCTTCGACCCGCCCACATCCGCGCTGAGCCGCCGGACATCAACATCCTCCCAGCGTACGGCAAGGACCCGCGGGTCATCTCCAACCTTATAGATGGCATCAACCGCACTCAGGATGACATGCATCTCTGGCTGGCGCCTTTCACGCCTGGTCGCAGCCACACCATCTTCCTGGACTTCGGAGCGCCATACCAGGTGGCTATGATCCGGGTCTGGAACTACAACAAGTCGCGCATCCACTCATTCCGTGGCGTGAAAGAGGTGGAGATGTTGCTGGATGGAAGGTGCATCTTCCGTGGAGAAATTGCCAAAGCCTCTGGCACGCTTTCTGGAGGTAACTGGCCACCAGTGCATCACAATATATATTATTTTCTGTGTTTGCCATTGATAAACTTAACTTTTTCCTCACTCTGTGGTCCATAAAGGATTGGAGCAGTTCGGAGACACCATCCTGTTTACTACTGATGATGAAATCCTGGAGGCCATGTCGCGTTATGATGAAACCTTCTTTGGTGAAGGCGAGGGTCCGGAGAACTCAGCGTATGAGGAAGAACTGCAGAGACCACGCACAGCAGATGGAGAGGGTGAAGAAAGACCTTTCACACAGGCCGGATTCAGAGAGGAAGACCTCGCTGTAAGTTTGGCTCTGAAATCGGTAGATTTAGGTTTCACAGTGTCTGGTTTAATTGTGTGGCGGTTTTTTAATTTTGTTTTATTTTAGCTGAAGCTTCAACTCAGTCCCACTGTGAGCCAGTCTGAGGAGAGTTTGGAACACATTCCTGGGATGTACACTGGAAAGTGTGAGCACTCCAATGAAATTGTGTTATCTCAAAGCTGTTTTTCCTCCAATTGTTTATATATTTATTTTTATTCTTTGTGTCCATATTTTCCAGGCCTTCGACTGGAGCTGATGACAACTTGGGGTGACCCCCACTATATGGGCCTGACGGGACTGGAGGTTGTGGGGAAAGATGGTGAGGGTTTACCTTTAGATCTCAGCATGTTGGCTGCCTCACCAAGGGACCTCAACGACCTCCCTGACTGCGGATATGACTTGCGCACCCTTGACAAGTAAGTCAGCGAGCACAGTAAATGCAATATGATCCACGATTACTTATATTTTTAATCCACACTTTGATCAGATGTGTTCCACATTTCTTCCTTCACTTAGACTCGTGGACGGCCACAACATCACCACTGATGACCAGCACATGTGGCTGATCCCCTTTTCCTATGGAGAGGCTCACATATTAAACATTACCTTCAGCAATGCCCAAACAGTCGCTGGTCTCCGTATCTGGAACTACAACAAGTCACCTGAGGACTCATACAGAGGGGTGAGACACTTAATAACCATTTACCGCAGTACTTTAGAATCAAAAGATTAGTAGAATGAGATCATGTTTACAACTGGACATAAGAAACATTGTAACCATTGCACAGGCATAGCATTGCTGTTACAAATGTATTTGTATCCCCACATGTTTGGCTCAGGTGAAAGTCTTACACTTGTTCATGGATGATGTGGCCATCTCGCCAGCCGAGGGATTTCTGATCAGGAAAGGCCCGGGGAACTGTCACTTTGACTTTGCCCAGGAGATCCTCTTCCTTGACTTTCTTCAGACTCCCACTGAGAACAAGCTCAAAGAAGAATCCTACAGGTTTAAACCAGAATCTTAATTGTATTATGATAGTTTAATATTAACGATGTAGTCTAACATATTATTGTACCTTTCCTCATTCAGAGCAAACTCTATGAAACGAGAACAGGCCAGCATGGACTATGAAGCTCCCATCATGCCTTGTGGGTGTATCCTTTTGTACTCTGACTTCTGATTTGTACTGCAGTTTTTATTTTCGGTTCTAACCTAATATTGCAATATTCGCAAATTCAGGAAACATTCAGTTGCGCGTCTCACATGTTAGATTGTTCTAAACATGCATCACTAGCACTGATGCAGCTTCCTCCCATTTCTGCTGGTACATCAACGGTAAATGATGCTGTGGTTATAAACAGGACATGTGGTTTGCTGACAAGCAGATTCACCATTTACTCGCACCGTTTAATTTCTGTGTGTGATGGTACATGCTCCTGGTCACACTATTTTGCAAAACAGTGTGACATATGATTTCCCAAAGGTAGAACGTTTTTAATCCATTATTTGCAAAATAACACAGAAAGAAAAAACAATCTCAGAGCGTTGTGTGCTCAGTGTTTTGTAGAACTCCCTTAAGTAAATAGCTCTCTTTTAAAAGCACATGCTTTGGTGAGGTTTTTTTGGCCAGTATGGCGTGTCATGCTCTTTGAGATGCTGTCCACAGATTCTTGATAATGTTTAATCATTAATCTGAGAGGTACATTTTTATCTCTAAACCAGTCTTATGTCTGTCACATGTTATATTTGTAGTCTTACTCTTAATTGTAGTGGTCCCCATTTTTGTAAATGTCTGGTTGGTTGATGAAATTGTCAGAATCTGAGCCTGTTCCCTTGTCTGGAGAATGTCCTCTAGCCAGATGCAGCTTGACATTAAAGTGAATGTCAGATTTCTAAGACTAATTTGATTTCAGATCAACAGCAGACCTAAACAAGCCAAACACAATAGAGAAACTTTTTTTATTGTCCCGATTAAATCAATCTTATAATGGTCATAAACTGGACTCGCATTGATATCATTTATAATAATGGATTTATTATCATCGCCTCAAGTTATGCATGCTTCCTGCTGGAAACTGGAAACAGTCTGGTTTGATTGAGCTCTTTCTGGTTAAAATGATGTAGTGAATAAACATGAACATAAAAGAGGAGCATAGAAACTGTTCAATTCCTTGACCCTGAAGTGTCAGTCATCTTTCAGCTGCAGCTCTTAACAACCTGGGGAGACCCGTACTACATTGGTCTGAACGGACTGGAGTTTTACAACCAGAACCACGACAAGATCAGTCTCAGTGACAACAGTATCCTTTCCTGCACTTAATGTACTGATATGTACGCTTTCATCTCTCTGCCTGAAATGTAGAGGTAAATGTCTGTTTAAAGAAAAAAGGTTTTAATGGTAAAGATATGTTCTTGTACCTCTTAGGGTATGTAGAAATCTGTCCATTGTGGCCTGAAGCTGCTTAAATCATTCAAATAAAGGAAACTGCCATTGTCCTAGCCAGTATTAAAGTTGCACGCAATTCGTTTCATATGCAAGAAACGGAAACAAAGGGAGTTGTTATCAATCCCTCAGCACTGTGACTCCCAGACATAGCAGCTTTTCCAGACAGCGTGAACGTGCTGGACAGTGTCAGCGGTGATGTGAGGACTCCGGATAAACTAACAGACGGCGTGAACGACACCCACGACGGCAGACACATGTGGCTGGCTCCGGTGCTGCCTGGGCTGGTGAGGGAGGCCGGGACGGGCTCTGGAGGGAGCAGCTAGCAGATCAAATTTGCCATGGGATTGAGCGCGTGTACCTCTTGCTTCCATGCAGGTAAACCGTGTGTATGTCATCTTCGACCAGCCGGTCACAGTGAGCATGATCAAGCTGTGGAACTACTCGAAGACACCTCAGAGGGGCGTGAAAGAGTTCGGGGTGAGGCGCTCTCCGGTCGGACATGGTGTCGGCTCTCTCGCGTTTGTCAGGTTTGAACCTGGAGCCACATGTTGGCCTGTGTGTGCAGCTGCTGGTGGACGACCTCCTGGTGTACAACGGCATCTTGGACTGCGTCAGCCACTTGTCTCGAGGCATTCTGCCCACGTGTGACCCGGCGGTACCCTACCACACCATCCTGTTCACCGACGACGTCTACGTCACACAGCGGGAGAGGAACACCGTCATCAGGTAGCCTTTTGTTCCGGGTGCTTCCCGGTTGCAGGTTTCCTTTACGGTCTAACGCTAACAATCCACCGCAGACAAATGAAACAATTAGCAACCAAGGTTAGGTCAAACCGCTGTGCTAGAGAATAGCAGCTGATTTAAATAACCGTTCTCCACCTCAGCCCTCGTGGCAGCAGACCTCTCCAACAGTGAGTAGTGGAGCTTTGAAAGCTTGGTATGAGCACCTCCCTGTGGTCGACCCCTGTAATGAAGATTGGTCCAGTGCCCCTCAGATTTCCCTCCGGTGTTCCACTCCCTCTGTAGCACATGCTTGGCTTGTGATGTTTCAGTCTTTGCTTTTTCCCCGTTTCCTCTCTTTTAGTCCACTCTTGCTCCCATGAGGGTGGCTCAGTGTTGAAATCATCCTCCGTGTTAAACAGTTTTGTCTGTGTTTCAGTAACCACGTGGAGGATCAGGATGTGAAGATGACCAACGAGAATCAGATAGTTCATCACAACAAAAAGAAGCAGACAGCAGATCCAGGTGATTACGAGACAATGTTGGATTGGGATCAGTTCCTAGAGGCTCCTTTTCTGCATGTCGTTTCCAAATGTCAACCTAACACTTGATTGTTGTTTTATTTAGCTCTACGGCCTAAAACCTGCATGACTGATGGTGGGAAGCACGGCAAGAGGAGGTACTAGCTGTTTTGAATTTTAATACTGGAAGAGGTGCACTGAAAAGGGGGGACCTTTGGCTGGCCGTTAGACTCCTGTTTTTGGGGGGGGGGACTGTGGAAAACATTTACCTCAAGTCTCAAAGCCTCCTCCTACTATGATGTGAAGTCATCATGAAGAAGAGCTAGCTAGATCACTGGGGTTTGTACACACACAAAGGCATACAGGATTGCGCTTTGTGGTCCGACCACTCTCCTGTCCTATGCCCCCCCCCAGCTTGACCCCTAACCCACAGTGCCAGGAGAGGCTGCCTTTTGTCGGCTCTTTTATTGTGCCTAGTACAGAAACTTCACCCTCTGTGACTGCTGCTTGTTACTTTTTGTGCTGCATATTCTACTGCTGTTTTTGGTATGTAAATAATCCTCAAACACTTACCCCAAAAAAGACCAAAAAAAAGCAAACTCCAAGGCCAGATGAAAACAACCACATCAGGATGTGGCTAATTGTGCACTGATTAGCTAATGGCCAAATGGATACAAAAATGCCAATGCATCGAGTTAATCTAAATGCTATGCAGCCACTGATTTATATCTCTTAATAATTTATACCTATGTATGCTAATGTGTTTCCAAACCTAATGATTTTACTTAGGAAACTGTTTTCGGATGTTTTCACCTTCCTAAAATTTATATCAAAGCCTAATATGATCATTTAAAAAAAAAAAAGGTGTTAAGCAAAGGTGGAGTTAAGGAAAGCTTCACTGTGTATATCAAACTTCTATTTGGCTTCTTATAATTAAGTCAGTGAGTACATTTGTTTGTTTCTGCTTAGCATTGGGTAGTGAAAGCTTATTTGCAGTCCAAGTGACCTTGACTGAAGTTGCTGCGCGCATCAATAAATTTTGGTGGCAAACATTTCTTTAGCTGCTAAACAGTTCTGGTAACTTTGTAGAAAACTGCAATTGATTTTAGGTACAAAACATGCAACTTCTAATATGCAAATACTATGAAAATTACCTCAATTTGAGAAGTATGCGATCTAAAAAGGGATTTCTATGGTTTCACCACCACTATGATATTTAGTAGTCAGTGTTGTACTTTTCTGTCATCAATATTTACTGTATTTACTTGTTGCATGGAACAGTCTCCTCAGCATTAGCTGTTATCTTAAAATGATTGATCTTTTTTGTTTTTTCTGATTACGTTTTTGAAGCCTCTAAGTCTCGGTATCAATTCACACTCCCTGCTCCTGGGAGTAATTGTATATGAAATGCAGTTTTATGTATTTAATTTCACTATGTCCAACAACAACAACAGCCATTGCAAGTCATATCAATCCTGCGCTTTCAGACTGTGGCTACTGTTGAGTGTTTGACATTTAATGTTTTCAAATATTTATTTTTCTAATCTTTATTATATGTACATTTGATGTAGGTTTATTTGAAGGAATAAAAACTTGATATTATACCCATTTTTCTGGATAAAAACAGCTTCTTTCTCTTAATAAAGTCGACATCTAAATGTGAAAGCATGAGCAGGCCATATAAGAGATCTAAACCTGTATTTCTATTTAGACCTCATATCTTCATTTTATCCAGAAGCATTCATAAACTTATCCCAAATACGGCCCCTTATATCATGTGTTCAAAAGCAGAACAAGCCTTTTAAAAAGGAAAATTGACACAGACAGATAAGCTCCATAAATATATCCTGAGAATTTTTAATGCAGAATCTGCTGTACATTTCATGGTATTTGGAAGGAATGACCATTCGGTTTATGTCTGCTGCTGGGACAGAGCATTAGTAGTGGAAATGTGCCACTTTTAGAAACATTCAGCTGCAAAGATTACATCTTTACAGACGAGACAGCTTTGCAGATGTCAGAGTTAGATCTTTCCAGGAAAGTTACCCTCCTCTCGCTGATCATCCCATTTCTGGACCTAAAAAGAAAAAGACGCAGAGGAAATTTCACTTTGAGGCAAATCATTCTTTCTTATACAAATATAACGAAAAAGTAAAATGTCTCTACAAAATATATTTGCTATATTTCTCCAGTTATGAGAGCATAATTCCCATCAAAAGCAACTCTCTCACAACATCATTGACTGGGATAAGAACAATCCCCATTGGTTTTTGTTTGTTTGTTTGTTTTCACCCTAAAAGTGTCCAACTGTATATTATGCCAGGAAGTTAATTAAACACACTGCCCTTCTTGATGCGTGTAAAGGTAACATACACAAAAGAAGAAAAACGACAGCAGCCAACATAGTTTACAGGGAAATCTTCCATGTTTTGATTCTCCAGACAGGGCTTAGACTCTAAGGAATGCATGGAACAAAGTTGTTTGACCCTTTCTAAACAAAGTTGGCCTTCTACTAGCAGGAGGCCATAACTCACTCAAGAGTCTTTTGGTTTGTATCATTTAAAAAACACTCACACACACACAAAACAAAAAATAAAGATTATATTTACCCAGGATAGGGGGCAAAGAGATTTATAGACCCTCTTGTACCAGTCACATGGGGCAGTGTCTACTCCTTTGGCGTCCAGGGCTTTTTGGCAGCGGTGGTAGTCTATTAATAGAGAGACAACAACAAGGGATATCAGACAAACCCCCTCAGGACCCCCAATTAAACTTGACTCTAAGTCAGCTCCACCTCTGAACTGAAGGGTCAGTACTGAGAAGATGGTGTCTACTCTTCCAGCAATATAAATACTCTATGTTTTGATGACCCCAGAGCACGGGAGCTCTACAGTTCCTGGATCACGTAGAAAAAGAAAAAATTCATCTGGCACAACAGCGTTGACCTTGCCATCCAGTCTTACCCAGGTAATTGGACCAGCAGTTCCTGGTCTGGTTCTGGTTGGGGAACCTGGCGTCAAATGGAGCAGTGCGGTAATTCTCAAGTTTGGTCTGAATTTCCTCAGCCATTTTCACCTCTGTCAAAAGAGTATCATTAATAGTAATAAATAAATGTTGTAAGATGGGGAAATGGAAGTCCTTTACGTGTTGTGTCAAACAATAGCATGTTGGTGAGGCAGGCGGAGGCCGGCCGGTGAAAGTCCTCCTGTGTCTGTGGGCACGGTGTGCAGGGAAAAAATGTTGGGCTTCAGCAGAAAAATCTGTTCTCGTTTTCCTGTCTTTTTCTGTGGATATTTTCGGAGTGGTGCATGCGCCACCTGAAGCCTTTCGGAGAACCACGACACCGTCGTCAAATCCCCCCCCCTCCCTCCCTAAGCACAACTGTAAAAAGCTATCATTTCAATTCGACGCTTAGAAAAGAATGCGTTACTATCAAATAACCGTCATTTTTAACCAAAGTTAGGCAGATATGAATAGGCTACATATTAAACGTCAGCGGTAGACTTAAAGAGCACTATATGCCAGGCCGAACGCTCGTTTCCTTTTCCTTTCTTTTTCGAATAAACAGCCTAATTCTATTGTCAAATTTAACCAATTTGACTAATTCGAACAACACTGTCGCTTAAAAAAAGCTGGTTTCGATGGAGACAGACACTGCCCACGAAGCAGCTATTTTCAGACATACCGGTGCCTTTTGTGAAGGTCTCCTCTATAAAACATAGGCTATAGATATCCTGTGATTAAAAAAAAAAATTCTAACCGTGTACGGTATTAATGGGCCATGTTCAAATCGTGAAAAGACACGCAGACAGACCTTACCTTTGCCGCAGTTGCAGGCTTTCGGTCGAAGTGACTTTTACACCGTCCGGTTGGAGTGTGTCGTTCCTCTGATAAGCGGCGCGCGCTCGCGCTCGCGCTCCTGGTCGGGGATGTTGCGCGCGTGCTGCCCTGTCGAGATGATATGGCGGACGCAGGTCACATTGGGACGACGGAACCGGTTCAGACCACCGCACAGGTCCGAGCAGGTCCGCACGGACTTACAAGAGGATAATGACAGGTGTCTGGATGGGCTGAAACCCACTAATGATTTTATTATAATTTTTTTTACAGTTCAAGTTCATGTTCCACATACAGATGTTTTTTTCTTTTTTTTTTATCAAGGCGGAAGTAGGTTGTTTCTAAGTGTTTCAGTTAATCATCTATAGATATTTACACAGTGTAGCTCAGAGGGACGACTGTTTTTTTTTCTTTCTTTTTTTAAATGGGCGGCTGTTCTTCATGACAGGTTTCCAGAAGAAACGATGTGAATGTTCATCTTGTAAGGATGAGCTGGCTCTCCTTGAATCTCCTGCCGAGGCGCAGCAAGCCCTGCCGCTGACTTATCAATGGGAAATGGTCCATCTTTATTTTTTGTGTAGGACCTTATTACTGTAGCAGGGGCTCTTGTCTAAATGTGGCCGGAGTGAAGTCGAGCCGGTTCCCGCTTTACTGATGGAGCCTGCACATGTGTCCATTCACTACGTCCGCGTGGCTCCGCTTTATCTCTGTGTAAATAAATAAATATAAAAGCGGAAGCACTCAGACCATTAGCACCGTTTTACCCCTAAGGCTCAGTCTCCCACCCTTATAAAGGTACCACAGGCCCATCTTGGTGTTGTGCGTCACTGATGGAAAAATATGAGGCTGGGTAATTTGCAATGCACGCGACCCAGACGACGGTACGTGACTTCCTTCTAGAGATCCATGGAGCCCGCGAGGCACTGCCCGCGTGCGGCAGCTGCTTCTCCCACCGCGCACACCAGGTGGCGGCAAAAATCCGGTTTCTGAACCTTTGGTTAATGCAGATGAATTGTAATTACAATGTCCAGGTTATTCAAAATACTCGTACATTTACTGAACGTAAATTATTTAGTTTGTAATTTAAGAAATTCTATAACTTGTTTTTCCTCCTGGCAACTGCTCTCCTGGTCACGTGTATTCAGCTGAAGTGGTTAGGGTGTCACAAGGGCCGATCTAGTTGTTGAGTACAGTATCCTAAATGATCTGAAGCACCTGGCATAGCCCTCCACAGGGTTTAGAGGTTAGAGAAATAAATGTGTGATGGTCAATAATGAAGAAAGAAGGCTGAGGCCAGATGAGTCGTCATATCAAAAAGGTTTATTCTTTCAATTCAAACATTTCATCATGTCAAAAATAAAGTCCACTCCAATAAAGGCCTGCTCCACGGGACCAATATATTATGTTCAGCAAGGAAAACTCTAAAAGATTATTTCACTCATTTACTTATTATAAATAAGTGGAGAAAACAGCTTTTCAAGAAGCTGCAAAACCAGCAGCAAGAACTTAAAAACCTTTGAGACTCAGCATAGAGAGAAGGCACACTCGAAAGACTCATTCTCCCAGACATAGATTAAGTTTAGCCATAGAACTATTTTCCAATAAACATTCTTCCATAATATGTTTAATTTCTTTTAACTCTTTGGCTAAGCGCAACCCATCTCCTAGAAACTGGCTGCACCACTTTCAGCATTTTGGAATAAGGAAGTACCCAACATTTGTAACATTTGCCTTAAATGTTGACGACAGTATCACCGACTTCTAAACACTGACATATTCACATTCACACATTTCACTTTTAGCATAAACCCTTATGCTGTGTGGTTCTGCTTTAGTGTTAAGTTTTTATATGTAGAATCCCAGTCAAAATGCGCCAACTGATCTAAATGAAATGGCAGTGTGTCCAGCCCTGTTTAGTATCAGTTTTAGCTACTGTCCTCCAGCTAGACTAGCTTTCATGTAACATGTGATTGCCACCTTTAAAGCACTGAGTGGCGCAGTTTTTGCATAGATCCAAATAATAATCCAGCGATACACAAAAGTGCAGATGATTAAACAGCACGGCAGGTTTTATGGGTTTTTCAGCAGGAGAACGGCAATTTGTGCGGAGTGATTGACAGCGAACAGCAGCTTCTTAAACATCAGACAGCATTTACAGTCTAAAATGGGGATTAGCCCGCTTTGGCCTGTCATAAAGGGAAGAACAAAGGACCTCCAGATATGAAGGTCTTTCTTTGGTGATGAGCAGTTGGAAGTTTGAAACTAGTACTTTGGTTTTAAAATCAAGGTAGGTTGGAAAAAAAGAAACGGAAAACAAAACTGCATCTTTTACAGAGCCCCTTAGTCGCTGAAGCGGAGTCGGTTGAAGCCTTCTCTGATGTCCTCATCGGTTTTTGAATCGCCACCACTGCCGATACGGAGTATTTTGCAAAGAGGGACGTCCTGCTTTAGCTTGCGCTTGCTGAGAACCACAATGCCCTCAGCTCCCTCCTCTTTGGGACCCATCAGCAGGAGGTAGGCAGCATGGCGTCCACGCTCCATGAGTGTGGCTAGCAAAGAAACGAAATAAAGAAACACACACACTATCACCAAAATATCAGAGCTGTCTTCCACCATACCTCTAATCAGGAAGTAACAAGTTACAGATGGAGCATGCTGGCTAATCCATGAGCTAAGAGCACCTCTGAATGTTATTATATGGTCCGTCACATTGGGGGACTCCAGGAGGACTTCAGAATAGAGGGGATGCAGCATGTACGCACGTCGGTCAGTAGTTAATGACTCCTGAGAAGAAGCATTAGAGACATAACATTTAAAAAAAAAAAAAGTAAATTTCTTAGTCCCCAAACAGTTCAATGCATCTGTGGATCAAAGCACCGTGCTCACGGATGAGTTGGATTCTGAGGGCCTCAACCCCCAGAACATGAAGACCGAAAAGGAGTTGGTGGTGTGCACTGAGGCGGGTCTTGGTGAGTTGGCAGCAGCGATAAGACTGACTTCCCATAACACTCCACCAGACATCCCGTCCAGGATGATTATCTGCGTTTACAACAGACAGCGGTACTGTTAGAACATGGTCTGAATTCATCACTGAATGACAAAACGTTTAAAAAACTAGCCAGAAAAATGGCTGATTTCATATGAACTTTACCTTCTTTGTATCATTGCCTATGTGCTCCTCAACCACTACATCCAGAACCTCATCTTTGTTAAAATAACCGAAGGAGGGCTGGCTGAAAACGAGAAGAATAGAGGAGAATACACTTTAAAAAAAAAAAAAATCAAACTGTAACTGGTACTTAGCTACCCAAGTTTTACAGCAACTGACCACTGAAGAGAAAAGAGGCAACAAGACAGCAAACTCATGGCAGTTCTTATCAACATGCTTTATAGTCATTTAACAAATGAAAACATCTATATCAGCCAGCACTTTTGCACAAGAGTCCCTTTTTTATTATCTGAAAGCAAACATGTAAGCAAAGACAAGTTACCCAAGGACTGAGCTGGTGTTGACTCTCCACCGAAGCTGTAGCTTTTCTCCACTGACCAACGCCACCCCCTTCCCCGTCACAACCAGCAGGTCGGATGAATCGTCCGTTTCTTTAGTTCTCAGCACACTGGCTGCCTCGGACCTACAAGGTAATAAGAAATATTTGAAAATGACCTCAAAGGGCTCTGACCCCTTCCTTCCTGGCAGATTAGGACTTAAGGTAGTCTGCTCCTTACTCATAGATGGGGATGAGGCCGGTTTCAGAACTGGCGTTTTTCTCCAGGTTTGCATTGGTCCGGAGGTCAGTGTCCACCCCCGTCTGGGCCTGGGCAGCAATGTTCCGCAGGGCCACTCCATACACGCCGGTGTCTGTGAATGAGTTCACGTTTAGTCACTGCTGCCACCGAGAGTCAGATATCCACGTGTCCACGTGTGTAAAGAGCTACATTCATTTGAATTATCAACATGGTTACGGTCTCAACCTGAATATGACACCGCCATGTGAACATTAGGAAGAATAAAGTCATATTTAGAGTAATAAGTTAATCGATATAGAGTAAGCAGAGCTTATCTGACTATTGAGACCGAACCAGAATGCTGTAAAAGCTCCATCTCTTCAGGTACAAGGATCTTATTAACTTTGGAGGAAACGTGCGCTTCTACCTTCTTGACTTAAAAAAGCAGTCACAAAAAAAAAAGCACATATGCTTGTACCTTTCTGCAGCAGTATGTAGTAAGATCCATCTTTAGTGAGATGGAGAAGATGACTGGTTGCCTCCATGGACTCAATAGTCACAGTGGAACCAATCTGGACCCCGGTGCGTCCAGAGAGCAAAACCAGCTGAGTCTGCAGAGAACACAAGCGAGGCTGAAATCTGAAGGACTCCTTATCTTATCTGTGCCTTATCTTTTATATCTAGTAGCAGGAGCAGTTACTATAGCAAGACATGTAAATGTAACTAAACTGATTGATAAAATGAGTCAAAATTCACCTGTGTGCTGTCGGATGCCACCAGGACCACGTCGACCACCTTGTCCCCATCCAGGTCCGGGACACTGAGCACCGGCAGAGAGCTCTGCTGACCGGGAGGCTTCGGCTGCTGCCAGATCACATCACCTGACATCACCCAAGAGCAGTTTATCCAATTTCACCCGGTATATAAAATACATTTTACTAGCCGTTGAGTCAATATTTCCTTGCACCATTACAATGCTTTATTTTTCTAATCGTTAAATCCAGTCCATTCAAAAAAATGAACACATTCTATTATAGAACCACCCATCACATGTAACATGAGGAGGCGCAATGACTGACTAACCTGTATATTTGTCAATGGCTGTGATGTTGTCGGCGTGGGAGACCAGACAGTGCCAGGCTCTCCCTTTATCCTTGTCCATGCCGCACTGGGCCCAGTTGAACCTGGGGTACAGCGGTCTCTCCCACAGAGTCTCTCCATCTGTGCCGTCCACCGCTACCATGACCACACATGGCGAAGGCAGACCTGGACGACACAACGGTGTCCCTCTGAGATACACTCGACCAATCAAGGGGCATCCGCATAGCAAGCAGTCACGGTCTTGTCTTCATACCTGCGTCAGCACATGATTTGTTGTTGGTGCCCACTGCGTTTTCGAGGACAAACAGGACATCCATCACCTTGTCGGTGCTCGCATGTTCGACTGCGAGGAAATCGTAGGTCGCTGCAGAGGAGGAGAGAAAGTGGTAGTTAGTCACATTTCGGATTTTTACAACGGGCGAAAAGGGTGCAGAGATACTCACCAGCTTCAGAGAAGGTCCTGTTCCAGGTAACAAAATACTGAGGTCTCACGGGACAGGGGATGATGAAGGAGAAGGCGAACACCACAATGAGACACAGGAACAAGGACAGAAAGAACACCGCCGTTCTCCAGTGGGTCAGTTTGGAAAATCCAAAGCCTTCCTTTCCAGCCTTTTTGTTCAGATCTGTTGCTAATGGTGCCGCTTGTGTTTCCAGCCCCTCTTCTTCATTCTTGAGAGGGTCGTCCTCAGTGGCACGGCCCGTGGTCTCCATGTTCAGAGACTGTGGCAAACAGATCTGCACAGAAGAGGAGGACAGACCACCGTAAAGGCATTCCTCCATGTTATTTTCACTGGAATGTATGCAGCCATTCTAGCAGTGGGGTGTACATCTGGCTATCTTCCAGGTGTTAAGTAGATTACAGATCCACGTGTGTGAAGAAACAAAAACACACCAAATCTGCATGAGTACAGAGAAGCTAAAACTAAATGTAACCCTGTGGGCAGCAATCTGACAGTCCAGCTAATTCTGCTGTATCGACTTTTGTAGATCTGCGCCTATTCAGACGTGCCAGCCATGACTCCAGAGATTTCTCAGCACCACACCCCCAACACAAACGAATCCTTTTGGGACAAAACAAAAAGTATTCGCCGATCTGGCAAACGGCAGCACACCTTGTTAACTGCAGCTTTGAAACCCGTCAAAACGTTTCAAATTGTAACACAAAGTAAACATAGTACAGAGTCACGTGTTACTTACAGAACAATTCTGCGGTCAAAATGACCTCGATTCAGGAAAAAAGTATAATTCTTATCGCTAACACGTCTCGTTTGAGAGACCAAGGAAGGAAACGTTGACAACCGATTATGTTAATAATCGGCTAACTTGTTGAGCCAAACTGTCCTGCAACAACAGGGCTATGGTTGACACAAAAACATCCAACATCGGTATAAAAAGTTATAAATATCATGTATAAACATTTAACGAAAACTGAGGAAAAGTTGTTTCCTTACTCTGACACTGTTGCTGTCCCCTGCGGTCACTGGTTCGTCTGACTACGAGCAGCAGGCCTGGCGTTCAACGTTACGTTGCGTAAACAAATCACTGACAGGCCCACAATTTTGCGGTGTTATTTAAACCCCTCGATTTTCCTGACAGGTATTCCTAGTTTGATGCTTTGTAAACTCAAACTTCAAATAACGCTACAATCACCTTACTTTACATAGTTTAACTCAAACTAAAATGTATAATTGTTATTAGCGACCCATTCCATGCCCTATGTACCAGTAAAATAATTCCGCCTGTGAGGCATTACTTGGGGTAAAGAAATATCGAGTCAACGTCAGCCTCAGTGCTCTGTGGTTGGTCGACAGGCTTGGCCTCGTAAATTACGATTGGTTCATTTCTGTGACGTAGCGCTATCCGAACTGAGCTTCCTTCTTCTCTCTGTCGTCATTTCCCTAATTAGAGACGGAAACTGGCGAGCTTACGAAGCAGAGGAAAGCTCCGAGCGGTGATGGTCGGATGAATAAAATATTCGAGTAACCCTGCTAACTGAGGAACTGTTGTCAGACACGTTGTTTCTGTATAGAATTATCATCGGGACACACATAACCATGTCTGCCCAAGCTCAAATGAGGGCTTTGCTCGACCAGCTAATGGGAACAGCGAGGGATGGTGAGTTGCCTTAGCATGCTAACGGAGCTAGCTAGCTAGCCAAGATGGAGGCTCTGCTGAGGCTGCCTTGTGTTGGCGTGTGATGGACTGACCTGCATGAATGGATGTACCGCAGAGGGCTGTTTTAATTTACAGTTACGTTAGATCCAAAGCGTCAGACAAGCACATTCTATTTTAGATTTTACGTTTTCGTCGTTTCGTCTTTGTTTTCGTCTTGTTTTTTAGCCTTCAGGCTAAAATAGCTGCTGCTCGCGCAATGTTTATTGTGAAGCCACGGAACACACAGGCGCCATGACGCCAAATGCTGGACCACATTCAAGTTACTCCGTGCATTGATCCTCTGTTAAATAGTTCATTGATACGCATTATTAGTCTTTAAGGGCCTGCAGATAGACGGACGAACAGGTCTGCCATTTTGACAGACTGCAGAGAATGCGTAATAAGTTGATCAGATATGCTCAGCAGCTAAGTTCGCGCACTAGTCTTGGATAAAGACACGGCGAAACAATCTGATAAACGGATTGTTCCAATATTTTAAAGGTTTTATTACAATTTTGTGTTTCTGAAATTGAAATCTATTTCAAGTTTGTCACAAAGCACTATTCCTCATATTGTTGCATAACTTATCAAATTGTCAGACTTAGACTTTACTTTATTTATCCCTTGGGATGATTCCTACAGGGAAATTCAAGATTCCATCTTGTTGAACGAAAACCAAGTTGTTGTTAGTTGATTTATGTCTATAAAGGCTTCGAACGTCCAAACTGTCACACAGTCATGAGTACTATATGTTGGAAATGGCATTTAACTTCCATTTCTAAGTAAGAGGTTTAGTCGGTTAGATATTATTTGCAGTCCTGTGGATCATCCTTACCAAGCTGTTAACTCAGTCTCTGCAGTAAGAGTGTATTTGTGTTGTGAGTTTGTGCGTGTATGTGTGATGATATCAAATTCTTCCCATACATTTGTTGCATACAAACTGAACAATTGTGGCCCCTTTATTTTATTCATTAAGGTTCAGTGTATCATTGCCAGCCTACATCAATCTGCAAAGGAGTTGCAGAAAAGCCTCATGTTCATCGAGCCGTGAGTCACACATAATTTTTAAAGCTGTTATGATCAATATCCAAACAATATGTTTGCCTACCGGAAAGTTATTTTAGTTATTATTTTTTTAAACTTTTCTAAATTACCTTACATAAACAGTTGGTAATTCCTCAGTGGCACACAAATACGTAGGAATTGACTACAATCACTACTTGGAGTAGTAGCAGCTTGAGCTAAGACGTCTTGTCGCGTTTTGTCCCAGCGAGCTCAGTTTGTTACACGTATTGCAGTCACGTCTGTTTATCAGAAAGCAGGCCACACAAACACGCACACACACAAAACAAAAAACTGCAAACATCATTTGCAATCTGACTTGTGTATGACTCCCAACTTCTTACTACAGGTATGGGCAAGAAAACTGTTTCCATTTATACTTTTCTACAGCGGGTTTAAAAATCTGCAGCTGAGGTCTTGAAGATGCAGAGGGGTACAGTATGTGGTGCAGATCACAGTGTGTATAAACCACTTTTTTCCCGTTGGATTTTTTTTTTGCTTTGTTTTTTGTTTTAATTCAATGTTTTATAATTATGTAAGGTTTGAATGGAACTTAACATCTGTATTCAGTCTCACTGATTATTTCTCCTGCATGGTCAGTCACAGTGTAGTGAGGTGGCTGCAAACATAAGGGCTCCTTTGACACTAGTTAACTGAAGCTTCAGTCACTTTGCTTTAACATTGTGTTGCACCTTGACTAGTACAATTAGCGCCACATTAAAGAGTGGACATTGAGCCTTTTTAGTTAGCGCTCTTAAACTTCTATGTTTTTATTGAGGCTTCTGTAAGGTAAGCAGCACGAAACGAGTACATTATACATGTCAAACCATTTAGTTGTACTTCCACTTTAAACGTAAACAGATGAGTAACAGCCCCACCTGCAGAATCAGTATTCTTCTTTTGTTTGTCACCAATAACATTTGTTAACAGCAGTAATAAAAACTTTGTGACATCAGAATTGGTTTTCATTCTTTTCAAAGGACAGAAAAAGTTTGAATAAAAAGGATGTTGACACATATTTGCCAAATGAAAGAGTTGGTGTAATCGTTATGTACATGAAAGCACTGGATACCTCGCCCCAGCTATCAAGTATGTGAGGTCTTTCTCACTGCCGTTTTTCTGGACTGTTTCAGGGGACGAGACACGGCAGAGGGTCAAGTTCACCGACGAGCGTGTCTGCAAAAGTCACCTCCTCAACTGCTGTCCACATGACATCCTGTCTGGCACTGTGAGTGGGCTGTTCATATCTGCTGTGAGTAATCTCAGGTTGTACCATGTGATTCAGTTCTGTTTTTTTTTTGTTTTTTTTTAAGCGTATGGACCTGGGGGAGTGTACGAAGATCCATGATTTGGCACTTCGGGCAGACTATGAAATCGCCTCCAAAGAGAGAGATCTTTTCTTTGAGCTGGATGTAAGTGAGATCTATTGATGAATATTGGATCTGCCAATTGTAGATTACTTGTCCCTCAAGGATGACAAAAGAAGTTTGATGGTATGCTGTTAACTGTTTTTCTCACATCTGAAGGCGGTGGATCACTTGGAGTCATTCATTGCTGACTGTGACCGAAGGACAGAACTAGCCAAGAAGCGCCTGGCTGAGACCCAAGAAGAGATCAGTGCCGAGGTTGCAGCAAAGGTGTGACTGAAGGGTTTTGTGTTTTAATGAAATGTCCTTTTTTTTCCCCCAATAAGTTTGTTCTGGGGCAACATGTAATATGACCTAAGATGTGACGGGTTGACTGTATTTTAGGCAGAGAAGGTGCATGAGCTAAACGAGGAAATTGGGAAACTCCTGGCCAAGGCCGAGCAGCTTGGAGCCGAAGGCAACGTAGATGAAGCTCAGAAGGTCCTTCAGGAAGTGGAAAAGGTCCGCTCCAGGAAGAAGGATGCAGAGGTTGGTAATAAGTTGTCTGATCTCACTTGTTTGTGTTTTGTTCCTTTAGTTTCCTCTCTCATCCCTCAATGACTTTTTTTTCATTAATGTTTTTTTATCCCTCTTGCTGTACCTCAGGAAGAATACAGAAACTCCATGCCAGCCTCCAGCTTTCAGCAGCAGAAGCTCCGGGTATGTGAGGTGTGCTCTGCTTACCTAGGACTCCATGACAATGACCGTCGTCTGGCCGACCACTTTGGTGGGAAGCTTCACCTGGGGTTCATCCAGATCAGAGAGAAACTGGACCAACTGAAGGTATGCGCCAGCCTGCAGCGCCACGCACGCAATCATCACCAACCCTGATGATTGACCGTGTGCCATTCTATTTTCAATCATCAGAAAACGGTGGTCGACAAGCAGGAGAAGAGGAACCAGGAACGCCTAAAGAGAAGGGAAGAGAGGGAGAAAGAGGAAAAGATGAAGAAAAGGTGAGGCAGATGTCCGAAAAGCCCAGCGGCATTAAGGGGGCTCATGTTTAATCATTCACTCTTACTTTTGTTTTGTTTTAAGGACCAGATCACGGAGCAAAGAGCATAAAAGGTAAGGCAGTGAGCGCACCCGCCTTGGTTTTTATTCTGGGTTCTGTCCCGGCATCCCAAATAATGGCTGTGCTTTGGTCAGGTCCCGTTCCCGTGACCGTGACCGCAGGAGGAGGCGCTCGCGCTCCACATCCCGAGAGAAGCGGCGCTCCCGCTCCCGCTCCAAGGAGAGGAGGAGGCGGCATCGCTCCCGCTCCCGCTCACGCAGCCGTGGACACCGGCACAGCCACGAGCAGGGCTCCAGACACAAGTACGTTCATCCAAGGTCTTTCTGCAGCTCCCTCAGAGCTGCTCCATTCAGTGCTTTGAGATTTATGTGTTATGCTTTTCAGAGGAAGCGGTCACGCCGCCTCTTTACAAAATGTCTCTGTATGTTTTTACAGTTGAAATTGTGTGGTTGAGTTTTTATCCATAGATCTACATGTTGGCTGTTTTTTCATTCTTTAAGTTGTATCCCCCTGACACAGATGCTAGTTTTTTTTTTTAATTTTTATCAACCGTCTATTTACTTTTTATTTTATAGATTTTTTTATTTTATGTGAATCCCTGAGTTTTTGATGTGTTTACTCTTCTTTTCTCTGGCTGCAGGTCATCCAGGGACCGAGAGCACTCATCCAGAGATCGGTCACGAGATCGAGAGAGGATGAACGGCAGGTCAGACTCCCGCCGAGCAGACGACAGGGACATGGGGGACTTCTAAGACCAAACACCACCCACCAAAACACAACCTCTCCCTGTCCACTCATATTTCCCTCTCGGTAAACGCTGTCCCTGCATTCACTCTTGAAGTCTCCAGCCTTCGTCCTTTCTTTGCTTTAGTCGTCATTGCAACCGACCCACATAACAGCTGTAATATTGAATCACTTTTGTAGTATCAACACACATAAGATTACTTCTGGATTTGAGAGGCTGGTGGTTTATCAGTGGAGTGTACCGAAAGAACGACATCTGTACTCTGGTGGCTGTCTGTATCCAATCCATCCCTCATCTTGTTCTAACTTTTAAAATAAATCAAATGGATAAAGGCAAACGTAGAACTGTGTCCTGGAGTGGAACATAAAATGTAACTGATCGATAATCAATGGTCATTTTAAGATGTAAAAATGCAAAGTGTAAATATGGTTTGGGCCCACATATGGTTATGGTCTGAAATCCCTCATCCTATCAAGTCGCTTTTTTCTTCTTTTTTTTTCTCACAACAAAGATTTCCTTTTTGTTTTTTTGTTTGTTATAACATGCTATTTGAATGTCTGTCGACATAAATGTCTTCATTATTTAGTTCTCAAAGCCCACTTAAAGTTTCAAACAAATTGAGTGGAAAGTTTCTAGGACTAGATTTTGACTTCTGTCTCTGCTTTGTTTTTTCAAAATGTAAGTTTGATTTTATGCTTCCTGTAGTGAAGGTTGTGAGTTTGGTCGGTTTCAGTAAAGGGTTGTTTTGGGTTGTATTGGTGGCAAGTTCCTTGTTTTTATAAATTTCCACAGCCAAGTTTTGTTTTCTTATTGAACGGGAACTGACACGATGGCTCCAGCTCTGGTGTCAGCATGTGAAGCCGTGGGTTTAGAAATGAGAAGTCAGTGCTTAAATTTCAGTTCAGCGTGTAGAATTCAAATTAAATACACACAGATTTTAACGGAGGCACTGACTTATCCAACGTGTGAAGCCATCTCTTCTGCTGGAATTCTTTCTTTAAAGTCTCAATTTAAATAAATGAAAAAATATTCTTTTTTTTTTTTTTTTTTTTTTTTTTTTTTTTTTTTTACAAAGCATGTTAGTCATGGCTTAATAATTAGTCAAATATCAATACATTTCAGTGAATGTTGGACACAAGCTGAATTTCAGGTTTTGGATGGTGTGAAATGTAAATAAAAATGATTTGTTAAAGATAGAATGATGACGACAAACTCACCTGTCACAATGGGTTGTGTTTCGTCATTGTTTTTTTTGCTGGCAAATTTCAAGATGAAATCCTGTTTCTCATGAAATGGCCAAACGTCTCCCTTTAGCATTTGACAAATTTTCATTTTCTTTAAAAAAAAAAATCTAAATAAAACATTGGTCCATGAGATTCTTGGCATGTTGTTTTTATTTACATTGTGCATTAAGCCCCAAACTTATGCAGAAGTTGAGACTGAATTTATTAAGAATGACGAGAATAATAAATGAAAATAATTACAAAGATTCAGATGTTTAATTAGCTTAGAACACTTAAATCTCCTGTTTGCCACCAAAGGCTTTGGCTTGAATTGATCACACCACTCGTTACTACTTTGACACTGAACAGGCTTAATGTGAGTAACGTCACTATTGTTTGTTCTTGGATAAATAAAATCAATAATTCAGCAGTCCCCTTCTCGGTGGTAACCTGCGCCAGAAGGGGGCGATCCTTCATCTGAAGTAGCTCCTGGTGTTTATGTTGCCGCTCACAGCGTGCTGCTCTCCAGCTTCAGGTCAACTTTCATCTTCTGTTTTTCCATAACCGCCTCCAGCTCCGTGGCCCTCCTGGCATCCTGTGGGAAGCGGGACCAGATTCAGACAGACTGAAGAGCGCTCTCGAGTTTCTCTTTAACAGAAACGATATGGCGTAAGGATGTCTAACGGGTGATAGACCTCTGGACACACCGCATGGTCAAGACTCACCAACAAGGGTGAGCAGCACAAACGTCTACAACCGGGGTAAAAACTCCACACACACAGTTTGCCCACAGACTGATTAATCTGTTAACGGTTTCCCGAACACCGCGGCACTTGCGATTGGAATCAAAACCACGACTCATTTTGACGTGCTGAATAAAAGGCCTTGTTGTGGCCGAATAAACCCAAACAGGTTGTCCTACCTCCAGCAGCGCCTTCTGCACGCTGAGCTGGCTGTAGACTCTGGCACCCTCATCCGGAAGCACGGCTCGGAGCTCCTCTTTGTTGAGGGAGAAGAGCTGTGCGCCGGTCAGCACACCCAGACAGGTCACCGTCCTGCAGGGGGGGTGGGGGGCAGACACGTATGACTCCACAGCCAAGTTTCAGCCAACAAGCACAGCTCTAATTATCCTCAGCCACAACCCAGACAGGCTGCGGTCAGTGCAGGGGGGGGGCACTCACGGCTCGCTGAAGCCTTTCCCTCGGAGCCACTCGGCCACCTCCTCCGGAGGGGAGTGATAATTCAGGGGGACGGAGGTCTCTGAGGAGCGAGGGATGACCAGGGGTTTGTTCAGATTGGCCTTTCCGTTGGTCAGCCTCTGCAGCAGCTCGTCGTTCACCATCATGACTGAAAAGTTTGAGGTGACAGCAGGAGGATTATTGTGACAAAGCATACATGTCCAAACTGAAATATCAAACTAAATGAACCAACCCAATTTATTTCATTGCATAGAAATTATAACTAGTATACAGACATAATTCCTGAAGTCATGGTTTAACTGTTTGAAATAAATCTGACCTTTTTTGGGGCAAAAAGATTAGAAACCTGTATAAGATCTTAAATCCATAAAATACTACAAAATGAAAAAATATATATTTTCAATTGAAGATCTTTTTGTTAACATTGAACATGAAAAAAGATCTGTTGTACAGCTTTTTTCTAGAAAACATCAAATCAATAGAATAAAAAAAGGGATTGTTTACATATTGTTAAAAAACAACAAGAGCTGGTGAACTGTGAAGCCAAGCGTAAGTTTGGCACCTTTATCCGTGTCCTCTCCCGCTGGGGCGTGCTGGCCGTAGGCCGGTAACCTGTGAGGGTGCTGTGGGGAGTGGGAGGGGGCGCGGTGCAGAGCGGGGGGGCTGGGTGGGACTGCGGAGAAAGTCCTGGTGAGGGAGGGCGGGGCTGGAGCCTGCAGGGACGTGAGGGAAGAGGGGAAATTACGCTGGAATTCACAGCGGAATGCACAGGTGAAAGCACGCCCCCGTGCACGCCCCTGTGGGCCTTACGCTGGGAGGCCGGCTGCTGGCGGGGCTGTCGACGTGCGCTAAGGGTTCCAGGATGTTGAAGGGCACGAAGCCGATCTGGTTTAACCGATTCCGACACTTCCACCAGCGCTTGGAGGATTCAATGACCTGTCGGTGAAGGAGTGGCCGTCAGAGTGCACAAACAACTAGCCAGCCTTTCACGTTTCACAGCCCTCTTTAAATCTGGAAAACACACAAAGGAGCTGTGAAATCTCTGCTGAGCTCGTTCAGACTGATCACCTCCAGAGTCTCCCCGTGCTGCACTGAGAGCTCGCTGCTGTTCCTGGCTATGAAGTCGTAGCTGCAGCTGTACACCCTCTCGTTCTCTGGGGGGAACGCGTCCCTGGGACGGCAGAACACAGACAGGATAAGAGTCGTTGTGTATGAGAGCAAATCGGCTTGTCTAAGATGACGACTTACGCCTCATCTGCAGGGCCGGGGGTCTGGGGGGGCTCTTTCTGCTGTGGGAGAACACAACACAAGTTAAGAAAATGTTCAAACGCAATGAAATATGCAAGATGTCAGTATATATGTCGGTATAGATAGCCATATTATCATTTCAGTCCAGCGACAGTCCTCATGGACCATATGAATCTTTCAGCACGGATGAAATTTGTTTTTTAACACAACACTACATGGTGTTGTTCTTACAGATGTTGAGCGCCTGTCTGTGCTGACACATGACGGAATGAGCTCAGAGCTGTACCTTACACAGGTATTCCATACCTCTTGTTTGACGAGGAGGGCTTCATGTTTGTGCTGTGACTCGACCGGATCCTCCCAAACCTGCCCGTCCGCCCGAGAGGCTTCCGGCTTCCAGCCGTCCAAGAACACGGGAGTGTATGGAGCCACAGGTCCTCTGAGCTGAGAGCTGAGAGAGCAGTCACTGAGCGGTTAGACTCACCACTTTGTTTTCTTTGAGTACATTTGTTTTCTCAACTGTAAGCGTACACTTTAGACTGAGAACTGTATACAAAGCACAGGTATACTATACAAATTTACTAAATTACATATATGAGTCTGTGTGTATGTGTGTGTGTGGGTGTGAGCCGATGAAGGTTGGTACTAACTAAGGGAGTGTCCAGTTAGGACCCAGAGACGTCCACAGCTGCCTCTCCTCCTCGCTGAGAGTGTCCTGCAGCAGGGTCACAGCAGAGCCGGTCAGGGCAGGGCTGGACACCGAGGCTCCCAGCGCCGGTCCTCCCGTCGTCTTTACCATCTGTTACACATCAAGATCAGACTCAAATCTCACATTCAACAACCAAAAGGCACTGATGAGTCAGACTAAATGACATGGACACTATTTATCTCTCCCGTGTTCAGAGCAGGTTTGCTTTAATAGATGTCAGTAAACACAAATAAAACACGCCCGCTCCAGGCTTTTATTCGCTTTATGAGGACTGATTCATATCCATCTATCAGCTGAGGCACACCTACAAATTCCACATCCACTGCTCCATATCCTTTGTGTCCAGAAGAATGCAGCAAAAAATCTAAACCAAATGTTAGAGGAGTCTGCGCAGAGGACACACGCCTGCATACAAATAGGCCATGCAAACGGGATCAAACAAATGCTCCATTTATCCAGCGAACCTTCCGTCAGGCCGACCCAGAGGGAACTGCCCTGTGTAAACACTAAAAAACTTGTTGTTTCTAACAACACTGCTAAGCAACACTGAGCAAATTCAATTGTTGTAACATGACACACACTTTTCACCCGTACCTCTAATAGTACCTCAAGATACTAAAAAGTCAACTTGTGGTTGTTATTTTCACTTTTTTTGGTTCTCATCTACAGTGAATTTCATCAACATTTCATCACATTTTCAGTTCTTAGCTAAATGTTTTTTTGTGTTGTGAAATTATATCCATTCATCTCAATCAAAGGTTTGAGACCAAAGCAGTATGTAGCCTGTGGGAAAATCGGCACAGGTATTCTATTTGGATTTGCTTAGAAGTGACGGAAAAAGCTCCCGTGAGAAGAGGGTGGCAGACAAACTGCTGCAGTCATCATATGTTCTGCCCGCTGGGCTCTTTCAGCTGTCAAGTGTTGGCTCAGAAGCTTATTGTACACAGTAATTGGGTCACTTCACAAGCTAAATACAGTGTAACTCAGGCCTTAACCACGCAGAATGTTTTAAATGAGCTGGAAAGGGCATAACTCAACCATGAAAATACAAGATCTTAACGCAGACATCGGTGTTTTTGTCATAGCATAAGCCAAACAAGAGAGATATAATCACAGCTGAAGGTGGTTCCACTTTTTCTCGGCTGAACAGGCAATGCATATTTTAGATTAAGTATAAAGCCAAGGGCCCTGTGAGTCACTGGGCCCCTCCAGTCTGTGTCCGGCTGACCCCTCAGAACTCTGTTCATGACCGCAACACACGAGGATGCTAGATTTTATTTTAGGATGTTGTTCTGGAAACACACAAGCTCGTGTGCACAACAATAGCAAAAAACAGGTGCTGAGGAAGAATTTAGAACTCACCATGTCCAGAGGTTTGAACACATGATGTACAAGCTCCTCTGAGGAGGGATTGGAAATGGTTGATTTCAGACGAGCCTGAAAAAAAGAAAGAAAAGAAAATCTAAATGATTGAATAGATATTGAAGTGACCAAAAAGTGTAATGATAATCGACTGGATACACACCAAAAGGCAGAAGCAGTATTTGAATTTCTGGAAGATGTCAACAAACTCCTCCTCTGGTGGAGGGAGGGCCTTTGCAGTGAGCAAATCCTCTGTTGATCAGTCACATTGACAGAGAAAATAGTTCTTATGAGTGAGTATAGCATTGTCAAAACATTCTGAAAAGATAATCCCATCTCCCTTTACCTTCAGCACTCTGCTTTTTACTTTTCTTCTTCTTCTTCTTCCTCTGGTTCAGCACCGTGGCGGCCTCGGCAGTCTGCTGCAGCTTGGACATGAAGCTCTCAATGTCATCAAAACAGTGATTGAGGATGCCCTGAGGAGAAGGGAACCAGTTTCAGTTGTTTTGTGCGGTTTAAGTAGGAAATGTGGCTACAAAAAAACTAAAATGTCAAAAATGCAGCGCAAGAGTGTACCACTTCTCTCTCCGCTCGCAGGAAGGAGATATCAGGGCCGCCGTTGATGCCGTTTGCTGTAATGGAAGGAGGCAGAGGATTCAATTCAGCCATTTTCATTCATGGTCCCAGTCCGTCTTTGATTCCGAACTCCTGCCCCCTTTTTGCCCCTGAGAGTCGGCTCCTTATAAACACAGACTCACAAAGCTCTCCCTGTGCCGCTGCCAGCTCTTTTACCTTGAATACCTATCGCTCAGTTCTCAGAAACCTTCCGAATACTTTCACAACACACAGGTTTTGTTTACCTCTGGGTCCAGGGTAGGGTGGGGGGTTGGCTGGAGGGGCGTTTGGGGCATGTGGGACGGGGGGACTGGGTATGTTATAGGGGTCATACATCCCTCCTCCACTCTGAGGAAACCTGCAGGACAAGAGCAGAGGTTCAACACAGGGGAGCACAGGCCTCTCGATCTGGACGGTGCTGCTGGTCCCCCTCAGCTGCAGCTTAAGGAGTCCATCGCAAGTTGAAATCACACATCAAATATCTGACTGATCCTTCGTCTTTTCTGCGATTCGCAGCAGCCGCGAGGAGACGTTTGATCGGCTGATCCAGATATCTTCTATTACTAATGTGTTGCCAACAAAATACAACCCAGCAGCCCTCATTCCGCTTTGGATGGACAGTAAGCAGCACACCTGTGTCCGATCACGGCTCTTCAAACAACCATACACAAATTAAAATGCCTCAGAACATTCATACCGCAGTTGTGTGTAACTTTAGCTCAACATTTTGCATTCGAGTACCTGCTGATGTACGCATATGCAAATAGCTCAAGTAGCCGACTAAAACGTTTTAGTCTTCAAAAAGATTTTTTGGTATCTCCATACCGCAGGTCCATCTTACTTTTCCAATATTAATCCTTCCTTCAGAATCCTTAAAAGCAAGATTTTTCAGAGCTGATTATCCATTTACGCCCTGAGACTTCTCACTGTCCTCTTCTCTCTCTGTTCTCTGTCACAATGCCCTTTTCTGTCTCTGTCACACCTTCTTAAGTTATGCAGTAACCGGTATAACGGGTCCTGGTCTCTCTCAGCTGTTTACACTGTCCTCCCTGTGTTTCTCTCCCTCCCGCCCCTCGGACAGGTGGATTCGTGACACAAGGCTGCTCTGATTCAGTGGAAAATGAGACTCCATGGCGGGAGAACAGAGGGCAGCCTATCGGCTCCAGAGGGAAGAGCTGCATGTCCGACAACTTGTGGTTCCACCTCCCATAAAAACACAGTCAAAAGTTGCAACTGTTCCTTACGCTATAATAGACAAAGTGGAATTGGAAAACTGATCATTGGTTTTCATTTTCATTTCAGCCAGTGGTGTGTTTTTGTTTTGTTTCTCTCTTTCCTCCTCTGTGGAGAACACTAACGGCCACAGTACCTGAGAGCATCCACGAGCTTCTTGTTTTTGGCGGAGGAGGCCGAAACTGCCCGTCTGATGTCATCCCGGATCTGCTCTGCCTGTGAAAACAAGCGGCATCACTTGTAGAACCTGCGGCAGCGTGACCACACAAACCGACTGAGTCAGGCAGGAAACACCGTGGAGTTCCTCAGAAACTCACTCTCACTGTCTCACAGTTGAAGAACAGAACATCCGGTTCCTCCTGATTTACCCCCCGGCAGACTAGCTGGAGCAAAGACGAGTGTTCCTCTGAATCGATGGCGTCACAGCGGTAGACCTCTCTCAAAGAGTAGTTCTCCAGCTCGTCCTGCATAGAAACTGAAAGTTATTATGAATGAAAATGAGTGGCATTTCTCAGGGAGGACATATTGAGAAGATTTTGTCATTCAAGGCTTTAGAATTCTCTTACTGTGCTTTTTTATTTGAACCTACGTAAAAATAAAACAAAAGTCCACACCAAACACGGTTATTCTCGCATAAGAAACCATTCCTGAGATGTCTGAGACACCAGCCTTTTCTCTTCTTCCTCATCTACATAGTGTCTTAAGTCTTGATATTTTGGCCCCTGGCATCATAGTTCGACAGACACAGTCCTGTGAGCTTTTTTTGGTTGGGAATGAGCATTTAAGAAAGAATGTAACAAGTCTGGTGCAGAAATGTCCCCTTTGTGTTGGAGAATGTGCTTTTTGAATGTTACAGTAAAATTAACCTATTTTTGAGGATCCTATTTTTCCTCTTTCACAGCAAAAAGCCTAGTTTACTATTCACAGCCTTCAAGTTCAGCTCCTACCTGACTGTTTACATCCCGGAGGTGAATGGCCTCCCTTCCGACATCCAGGAACATCCGTTGACTCCACAGCTTTTTATTCCTTGCCAGGTAGGAGAAACGGGCCTGGGCTTCCTCTACACTCTGAACACCCCCATTTTTTATCGGAAACGTCCCAAGATGCTGCAAATAACGAGGAAGACGTAGCGATGAAAAAAGAAAGGAGGAATAATTACTCAAGGATCACAGGGTATCTGAGGAAGAGGGGCAATCAATGTTTGGCCGATTGGACTCACGTCAACAAGGTGTCTTGTGGTGCTTGTCATTCTTTGGTCTTTCTGTCAGCTCTTCTGGTTTTAGGTCAAGCTAGAAAGCGGATCAAACAGAATTTCAGAGAAAGACTAGATTACCTTTGCCGGCTTTTCTCTGAACTAACAAGTTTCTATTTCCATATGCCCGTCCTCTTTGTCATTGTGCGTCAGCCTATCGTGTGCCTGCATGTGTGACACAGGTTTCGTGGTGTGTGAATGTGTGAGCTGCTCAACCAGTCTGGCTACAGTATCGCAATCTCACCATTCGATCTCTCTGGCCCTGATCTATCACGAGTACGGAGCATACCAACACCACAGAGGGCAAACATCACTTACACTTCCCCCAGTTTCACCATGGACTTCAAATACTGAATTACACACACCGCGTCCAGTGATTTGTTAAGGTTATGCGCCACTGTGTGAAAAATCTTGCTTTTAAGGAGTGGGAATATGAGTACATCCACCTGAGCTGACTCTCACATTCACACTGATATTCAAGGTAATAGAAACACCATACCAGCAGTTCCTAAATGCTATAGTTCATCAGCAGAAACTAAATAAATCAGGGGCTGACTTCTGTGTGTGTGTCTGGGACAGACATCCAGTACAGACTTCCACAGGTGTTCTGTGAGATCGGCTAACAGATAGAGACACATCATTTGAAATTGGGACTCCACTCACCACTGTTGGAAGGCTCCCGCTGCCTGGCTCCTCGCGTGATACTAAAGCCTGCTGAGTATCAATGTGACAGCAGGTGTAGCTTTTTCCTTTTCAAAGTTGTGACAAAGCAAAGGTGCGTCACCCCTTTTGGTCCCGCCCAGCTCAGAACCCCACCCTGGAGATAAAAATATGTACTCTGGGTCCCTCCACTGAGCCTACACCCCCTAGCACATATTTACCAAAAAAGGGCCAGACTTTGTGGAGGGGGGGGCGGGAAACTAATGCATGAATGAACTTTCTGAAAAGGGACTTCATGTCTTCTTGTTTTTGTCTGTTGTAGAATAATCAAAGAAAATACACACTGTGACTAATTGTGTGGAAAGATTTCCAGCTTGTTAGATCTTAACTTTAAAAAGTGACAGGATGTCATAAAAGTGTGGCTTTAACAGAACCCCTGAAGGACCACATTCCTCACTGAGGTGACAGCCTGTTATAGTGAGATGTTGTACTGTATGGTGTGGAATAAAAGCAGACACACACACACACACCTTACCTCTGAACGTAAGCAGGACCCTACAGAAGACAGCTTGCTGCTCTCTATAGGGTGAGTATTTCAAAACCCCTGAATGAGCCAACAAAACAAATTATGTGCACCAATGCATCCAGTTCACGTGAAAGGGTTTAAAGTCTGCCCCCCTTTGGGTGAAGTAGTGTACTTTACAAATCTGAATACAAGCCCCAGTTTGAGCCAATGGGGATGTGTGCGGGCGGAGTCAGCCGAGGCAACGAGAGATTCCCAGATGACTTTAGTTTAAGGACATTTGGAAAACTTTCCCAAGAAGGTCTACAATTTTGCAACACAAGGTACCTGACTTTCATTATTGAGTTCACGTTGGGACGTTCACGCGCTTTGATGGCAGTGTTGGCTCCAGAGTTGGGAGTTACAGTAGAGTTATATTTATTTCCAGAACAGGCATACGTGGCAACCACCGTGAGCTTATGTGTATGTTTGTGTTTGACCGGTAACAAAAATGTAACTGACCAGCATCACTGAGGATGAAATCCTAATCTGTATTCTCCTAAAGCTTTTACTTTTTCATAAATTTCGTGATTAAGTTGATAGTGTATATTGTTATAATTTTGTTTAGCGGAGAAGTATTAAATAAACTAAAATGCCTTCAGTTAAAACAGAAAAAGGCGTGAAATATAACCCAGTAAAACTTTTCTCCGTCCTTAATTAGATTTTTAAAACATCAGTTTTACTAAAGACTGTGTGAAATGGTGCTACGGAGGTCATGCAGTCAAGCATGACCGCTGTAACCCCATTTCACACTTAGTTTGTGTATACTGTTTGTGTATACGGGCCCCAAACATTAACACGTGTTACAAGAATTCCCCCTAAAGCGTGTGCTATCCGGGGGCCGCGTTCATGCCTCATCAGTGCTCACTGTAGCACTCATCAGGCCGTGTCATAAAGCTTCCAAACTAAATTGGCCTGTGATAAAATCCGAATCAACTTGATCGTGTTTATCTGCGTACAAATACAGTAAGTTTTTTCCCCTCATTGATTTTACAGGAAAACGTCAGTAACAAAGCAGTAGAAATTTAAACTCAAACTAGATGTGTGAGGCTATATAAATAGACATATCATGCATTTAATTGATGGCTGGGCTGTCATTCGGCGTGTCGGAGGCGGTGTCGTGTTGTTTGACGGTGCACGCGCACAGACGCTCACACGCGCACACAAGAGCGCGCTCACGCGCCGAGGGGTTGGACGGGGGCCCAGGATTTCGCGCATCCCTTGAACGCAGCATGATAGTAGGTGTGGTGCAATTCTTGCATCAGGCGGAAGGAGCTTTATTGGCCATCTCTGTGGGCTCCCTATTCAATTCTGCGGGCGAATAACCTGTGGCTTTAATGTAAGTAAAGATTCACACATTGCACCGTACTACCCTCTGGCTTAAATTTGAATTTAAATCGTTTGGAAAACGTAGGAAGAAGTTGGCGCGCGATATGATTGCTATCTTCGTGACAGTTGATATTGTGGACACACGTGCTCTGTAGCGCGAGCGGACGCGAGGATAAAAGCTTTTCGCCGGTTTTCTGCTTCTCGTTCATAACAAAACACACCGCTGGCCAGGTGAGGCTGGTTTGTGTCCGTCTAAGGGGTTTTCTGGCACTTTAAAGCCCCAGTGTAATTTTATTTTTTGTACGTTACTTGCCGCCGTCGTTGTGGTTAGCACCTCTTAGAAGGTTATAGCTGTCAGGTGAAATACATGAGAGGCTTCTTTATTGGATCTCTAATCAGGGATTATCTTAAACCTGGGCAGCAGAACTGGTGTAATTCACCATCTGTTTGGACAGAAGCTCTCTGCTGAAATGAATGTTAGACAAAGTTTACTGTACGTCCTCTTTGTGTGGGAAGAATAGGGGGAAACAAATGATCTGCTAGAGCCTATTAAGTTGTTATATTGAAGTTGGAACGTCACTTTAAACGGTTGTAAATAACAGGCCAGGAGAGAGGGTGCATTTCACTCTATTTAACCAGGAATACCTCAGAAACTGGCCCCTGTGACGACCTTTAACTCTGAATAAGTAATGTGAAAGGCTTGTGGTACATCACAAGGGAAAAAGGCCATCTCCCATTATGCACAACAGTTGCCTAAAGGCCATTAATTTACTTGAATAAACAAAGAAAAACCTATGGCAAACTCATTTTAACCTTGTTCCTTTTTACACTCTGCTGTTTTCCCAGATGGAGAAGCAGCCTTTGCCCACCGATGAAAGCGTGGCAGGAGCTGTGGAGTCGGAGCCCAGCGTCTACGCTGGTGAGGAGAGGCGGCAGGGCTCCTCTGAGCCTCCCGCTCGGGCGGGATGGAACAGTAAAATCGAGTATTTTTTGGCTCAGGTGGGATTCAGTGTCGGACTGGGCAATGTCTGGAGGTTTCCATATTTGTGCCACCAGAACGGAGGAGGTGAGAACCTGTTGCTTCTAACTCTGCTCGCTGGCTGCTGCAGAACTGTAGCGGGCAAAAGAGCAAATGTGGTTGTTTTTGGGTGCATGGTGTGCTATTACTTAGTTAAGAGAGTGGGTGGTGGCACCAGTCCTCACTCAGAGGAGACGCTGTGGCCATTGTGCTTAACTATTCACATGTGTGCATTATCCACTCACTCTTATGGCTTTGCGTGAGCTCTATATGCCTTTTTTCCCCAGTAGATAGGATTTGTGTTTGTATCTTCTTCTGACGTTTTATTTTTCCGTGACAGATCGTGGTTGTCTTTTTCTAACTGCTGGTTTTTTCTTCTCAGGAGCTTTTCTCCTGCTGTATGTGCTGCTGATGCTCATAGTGGGCATTCCATTGTTCTTCCTGGAGCTGGCAGCCGGTCAAGCTATCCGACAGGGCAGCATCGGAGTGTGGAAATACATCTCCCCACGGCTGGAAGGGATCGGTTACTCCAGCTGTGTGGTAAGAAAACCTTTTGGACGCCCACCCCTGCCGACATCAATGTAATTACCCCACGTGCTTGCAGGAGAAAGGCAGTCTAGTTCTGCATACTTCTGCTGCTTCAGCCGGAGATTTCCTGTTTTCCACACTTTGCCAACAGCAAGAAAAGGACACATGTTGCATGTTAAGAACAAGAGAGGAATGGTGCAGTTATTAAACCGAGAAAGGCTGGAAACAGAACAGCCATTTGAACTCAAACTAAACTTATCTTGTTTGTCCTCAGGTTTGCTTCTTTGTGGCTCTGTATTACAACGTGATCCTCGCATGGAGTCTTTTTTATCTTGGGAACTCATTCCAGCACCCTTTACCATGGGAGCAATGTCCAGTACAGGGGAACATAACAGGTAAACTGGCAGTGTTAGGATTTAAACCCAACATAGATCAATGTTAGGTTAAAAAGCTGTATAATCTACATGATTTTAACAATGGACATCTCTCAGCAGTGTGTTGTGTATGACCAGTAATTTATTTATTTTGTTTCGTTCCAGTAAAGGAATGTGAAAAGAGCTCTCCCACGTCATACTTCTGGTTCCGCAAAGCGTTGGATATCACAGACTCCATTGACGAGGTGGGCTCTTTCAACCCGTACATCGTCTGCTGCCTGCTGGCAGCCTGGACCATCGTGTGCCTGGGAATGTTCAAGGGCATCAAGTCGTCTGTGAAGGTGCCTGTCCCATGTGTTGTGGCAAGCCAGATTTACCAGGCAGTCATTGTTGATGAATGACAACTGCTTTATTTCTTAAAAAAAAAACTTTAGATGGTTTCTATTAAAAAGCAAAAGAATCTGCACGTGTGCAGGCATTTTGCTGCTGTTGTTGTTTTGTTTTACCTTTTCGGTAGAGTAGCATAGAGGCACAGAATTCTAAAGCATTGCCCTTAATTTATGCCCCTCACACACTGACTTGTTGACAAACCTGTTCCCTTTTTTGCTTTGTCTGGACTTGGTGAGTTGGGACAAATCCCTGTCATGTGTTGGGTTTACATTTCATGGTGACTGCACGTGATGGACTCGGTGAAATGCGGGACATGCAGGACTCACCCCGCATTAAATCTAAAACAATATAATTTTTAGCATGACCACGTCCAACTCCAAACATGAGCAAAAAGGACGTTTCCGGCACCAATAATCGAGCGCCATGTGTAAAAATCTGGGAACAGCTACCCCACAGTGTCATAAGAGCCAGCTGTAGGTTTCAGATGAAAGCAGCTGCCCTGTGAAGCTGGATTCCCGCCATGATATTCACACTTTGAACCAATGTGCTCAGCGTTATTTGAAAATTACCTTTCGTTATTTGGTTTGCGTGTGAACCAGCTAATCTCATTCTGCTGAGCATTAATTATTCATCTGTCATCTGCTTTGTGAGTCGCTTTGGATAAAAGCGAATGCTACCTGCATAAACATGATCAGCAGTTTTAGGACAGGGGGATGTCAAATGAAATTAGAATTGCTCGAGTAACTTTCAGGATTCACTTGGGTACTGCAGCAGCATTGAACTGAGAGTAATCGCTGTTTCCTTGTTTTCCAGGTGATGTACTTCTCCTCCGTCTTCCCGTACGTGGTGCTAATCTGCTTTCTGATCCGCGGCCTTCTGTTGGATGGCGCTTTAGAGGGGATCGCCTACATGTTTTACCCCAAGGTACCAAATATTTGGCTGAGGGACTGGGAGGCAGTGGCGCGTGGGCTCTTCCCTGACACACCCTCCCTCTCCTCTGCGTTTCCCACAGCTGGAAATCTGGGCAAACGTGCAGGTGTGGCGGCAGGCAGCCACGCAGGTTTTCTTTGCCCTGGGCCTCGGCTTTGGCTCCATCATCGCCTACTCCTCCTACAACCCCAGGAACAACAACTGCCACCGCGATGCCTTCACCGTCTCCCTCATAAACTTCCTCACGTCGGTTCTGGCCACGCTGGTTGTGTTTGCTGTCCTCGGTTTCCGAGCCAAAAACAAGGTCGTTTCATGCATAGTCAGGTATGTTTGATCAGAGGGGTGTTCTGCGTTTCTGATGCCGACCGCTTTGGGAACAAAGGTGGAGCCCGTGGAGCACAGATTGTCTGAAATGTATGCATGTCGTGCTGCTTGTTCTAACATCTTACGCCGTGGAATTTAAAATGAACTTTTTGTTTCAGAGAACACAAGTAATGTTTGGATTTCTTTTGCCTTCCAGCAACCTCCAGGTGCTGTCGGAGCAGCATCTCAGCAGTCGGGTGGAGGGAGGGCTGATGCCGGCGTTCAACATCTCTGATCCAACATCTGTGGCTGCAGAAGACTACAGCGCCTGGTTTAAACTGCATGGGCGCCACCTCAATTTAACAGACTGCAACCTGGAGAAGGAGATGCAGACGGTCAGAGGCTGAGTTTTTGTCGGCGAATGTGCGACGGCTGGGTTGAATGCTAGCGTTTGCAGTCTGCTGTACACCAGCACTGAAGCAGGCGGTTCGGTTCTGTCGGCAGGGCGTGGAGGGCACCGGCCTGGCTTTCATCGCCTTCACAGAGGCCATGTCTCTCCTCCCGGGAAGCCCCTTCTGGTCTGCGCTCTTCTTCCTCATGCTGCTCAACCTGGGCCTCAGCACCATGTTTGGCACCATGGAGGGCATCCTCGCCCCCCTCAGCGACCGCTTTAAAACTCTGGCAAGAAACAAGACCAAACTTACAAGTAAGTTTGGTCTCCTCCTTTCTTTTTCAACTTGAATGTTTGTAAGCGGGGAGGTGTTGTCCAACGCCTCTGCCCCCCTATCAGGAATGTCTGTGCTCTGTGTTTTTCCCCCCGACTCACCGCTCCTGTCCTGGCCGTTGCAGTTTTCAGCTGCATCGTTGGCTTTCTGATCGGCCTGCTCTTCACCCAGCGCTGTGGGAACTACTTTGTGACCATGTTTGACGATTACTCCGCCACACTGCCCCTCATCATCGTGGTGGTTTTCGAGACCTTCAGCGTGTCGTGGTTATATGGAGCTGATAGGTGAGTTTTCCCGCTCTGGGCATCTAATGTCCTGTCAGCGGGACTGGTAATCGCATGCCTCCTACGTCTGCTGTCAGATTGTTATTCATCAGCACTGCGTGTGTGTGTGTAATATCCCCACAGGTTCCTCGACGACATAGAGGTAATGCTGGGCTGGCGTCCCAGTGTTATTTACAAGTACCTGTGGAAGTACGTTTGCCTGCTGGCTATGCTGGGACTGTTGGGAGCCACCACTATACGCATGCTCATCGAGCGCCCAACCTACACGGCATGGAACCATGAAACGGTACGAGGAGCTTCACGGAAAGGAGGGGAAAACACATCCATGTTGTTTTACTGTCGTCAGCATTCTGCACTGGTGCATTGCTGTATACTTTATTTCATTATTTTTATTTCATCATGACATGTGCCTGCACACCGAGTGCTGTAAAGGGTTGCACAAGAATGGATAAACCAACAAGCCACTGGTGGCTTAATCTCCCCTCCTTTTCTGCATGAAAGGAGTGACGCACACCAGAACGAAAGTTGTCGACTGGGTCATTCAGTTAAACGTCCTTTACTGTTTTTCAGGGCTCTGACGAGCACCTGCAGTACCCCGGTTGGGCTCTGGCTGTTCTGGCGTCATTGATCATCTTTGCCATGCTGCCCGTCCCAGTGGGTTTAATCCGCTCCCTTCTGCTGGACCGGAGTAAGCCGGCATCCAGGGACGGGGAGATTGGCCAGTACAGCATCGTTAACACCGACGAGACGCCCATGACCGACATGTCCGAGCAGGAACACCGCAATGGCTTCACTGCTCCCTGAACTCTGGACCCATAGTAAAGAACACCTCAGGTATCCAGTAGAGATCTTGAAAGGGGCCAATTTGAAAATCATTTCAGTGATAGCAAAACTTTTTGCGGATGCCTGTGAAAAAAGTTTCATTATTTTTATATCTAAAAGAAGTTATCCTTCTTTATTTACTTAAATTAAGTTCACATGTATTAAGGGGACCGAGCTGGTCTTGAATTTTATGGATGTCAAAGTGAGAACAGTTTTTGATAAGTTTAATGTGAAAAAAAAGAAAAAATAATATATTAATTGTCCACAGAGCTGGCTTTACAGAGTCCTCTCCCAATGATGAAACAAGGTTTCTGTATTTCACACTGGGTATGTTCCGGTCTGTTTTGGCTACGGTCTTACAGTAAGGAGCTGTCTTGTTAAAACTTTCCCTCATATTCTGCTGTTCAGCCCGCTGGTGAAGGTAGCACACCCCGCTGGCTGTCCATGTGACGCACATGTCCCTTCAGGCCTGACAGGTGAAAGTGGGACAGTACATGAACATAAGTATCCATAGTATCAGAGATCCATCCTGCTGCTTAGTTTAAAGAAGTGGAGCTTACATTACTCCTCACTATGGATGTCATCATTGCTTTAGGTTTTTTTCCTTTTCATGAAATTGTACTGTAGAAAAGTAAATGTTTACTTGTACTGTTACATCAGCAGTGCGTTAAATCAGCTGCAAACGCCCAGTTACATGATGAAACCGACTCTCATATCACAGTGGTACATGTCGGGGGGAGAATCTGCTTTACAGTGTTGTACAGTTCACCGAGGTGAAGATGAGCCGGTATGGTAAAGTATTAAGATCAAGTTTGAATGTAAATGTGTAGATAACTCATGGAGGGGAAAAAAATCAAAGATCAAATTAGCTGAACATTTCTTTTGCTTGTTTTTCTTTTTTTTTTTTTTGTAAATATGAAGTGAGTAGAAGACATTATTTTAAATAGTTTTTAGAAGAAATGAAACTGCACGCCTGGAACCATGTGAAACAAAGCCACAGACTTGACACGTTATTCCTTCAGCTCCTGTTACTGCAGAATACGATGTGATAAAGGGAGACGTTGCTTTTTAAATTTTTTATTATTTTTTTTTATTAAACTCTTCATGGTCAGAGGCTCTTCTGAGAGGCATTTCTGTACAGATTGTTCCGACACTTTTTGCTGCAGGTTTGTTCTTAAGAGACACAACACTCCACTCCACAACACAGGTGCAGGTTTAGCTGTCATCAAAATGAACCAACTTTATGAATGCTGAAGTTTTTTAAGTGCCTTCAACTTACAGGTCTCAGGACAAAGTATTACAATCAGTCCTGCTCATGTCTGAAAACTGTATTCTGGATAAATGGTGCAAGTTACCCACATGTTTGTATATATGTACATATATATGTGTGTGTGTCTGTATAGTAAGATTTTTTTAATTTAATGTCCTTTTTGTTTTGACACTTTTTTAATCAAATAAATTTTAGCATCCTTTTCAGTGTTTCTCTATTAAACTAGCCAGTTGTCAAAGAGTCTATTAGGTATAAGGACAGTTTAGCTCTTCACTGCTGTAAAAACACGTGTCACCAGTTAGATTTTGATGTTCAGTCATGTTCCTAGTGCCCCACATAAAGGCAGTTGTTTACTTAACAACCCAGTCCTGGGATTTAAACTCCCAGAGATGCTAGTTGGCAAAAGAAATGTTTCTGCTCTCTTGTTCACAACCAAAACACACTTCCAGTACCTGCTGAGCATACCGCTGCCCATCTGCACTTTATCTTCCTGGGAAAGCTGAAGCCCATCCAGACTTTGGCCAACCTAAACATCGGAACAGCTGGAAAGAGGACGGCATGTAGCAAAAACTCTACAGGTTTGTTTCCCCCCCCCAGCTCTACTGAATTACAGCTCAGGATCCACAATCCGTCCTTTCTCTGAGAGAAGGAAGGCAGAGATGGACCCCCGCTTGTTGTGTCTTGAGAGGCTGGCGCCTGGTGTTTTCAGTTCCAGTGCAGGTGGCTGGAAATGCCGGCCTCAAGGCTGCTCAGAGCGCTGCTCAGGCAGCTTTTATCTGCAGATACGGGGGTCAGCCCTGCTATTTCACCGCTTCCCTGTTTTGGAGTCCCCACAGGCCTGCTCAGATAATGGGAGGGGAACTCACTGAGACGGCTTTCTCTGAAAAAGTGTTTCAGACCACGATCAGATGTCAAACTGCTAAGGTGATAAGCATTGACCAGGAGGTCAGTGTCCAGACTGTAGATTGTTTTTTTTTTTTAAAGAAAAAAAAATCAGATCAATTAAACGCGATTTAGTTCTATACGGTACAGTTACTGTCTGCCTGATTCATTGTTGGTATGTGAGTGAATAAGTGTTAGTACATTTGTGCTGTGTTTTCATCACAGGTTTTACACCACTAAGTACCTGCTTGGACTTCATGTTTAATGGACTTAGCTTTAAAGGCTATAAGCCAGTTGAATAAGACTGAGGCAGTACATCTGTGTGTCAATAGGGAGATCTGTTGTTCCCGTGTGCAGTATTTTTGTCACGTTTCAGTCATTTAAGTGAACCTCATTTGACAGGATTAAGCTGTTATTTAGTACTCCTCTTTGGAATCTCAATTTCTCTTAAAATGATGCCTTTTCAATCAATATTTTTAATCTGGTGATTAAAAAGCTAAAAAGTTATAAAGCTCCCCCGTTAATGTGTCAGAGCAGAATGTGTGAAAGGAAAAAGTCCCTACTTCACTGGAGAATTTTACCAAGACATCTTTCCATAACCAAATGTAGCAGTAACCCACCGTCTCCATACATATGCCTGCGAAGAGCACTGTTCACAGGTGTGCCCTAGGAAATAATGATGCATCTTGGGATTTTAGTTGTCTTGGATGCAGTCACTGTTCAGTTAGTCAGTTAGAAGACAACACACCAGCCGACAGAACCACAAAAATACTCTCTCCAAATTCAGGTAAGCTCAACCGATCCACTCAAAATTGTGACCCTTTTTCTTGTGTGGAACGGGATGTCCGTTTGGGAGGTTTTTCAAGGATCTAGAGACCTCTTTTTACTCGGGGGATGTTTGTTAAATATCACTAGGAAATCCAAACTGTGCTGCGTTATTACAAAGACACTTATGGAGGGCATCTGTTTGGGCAGGTTAATCGCAGGCTTCTGCAGTTAGCGTGCTGTTTCTTCTGTTTAAACGAGCTGTGTTTGTTTGTCCCAGAGGATGGAGCTGATGGCGGGTTTGTCGGCTCTGTGCCTTCTGCTGATGCTTCCCCTGAGCGGCTCACAGAGCACCCTGCAGTCTGAGAGGGAGACCGGTGGCCAGCAGGCCCCGGCGGCCCCTGCCCCTCCTCCACAGATACAAGACCTCCTCAGGAAAGAGGAAAACACCCTTTTGAACAGCAAACGGACGTGTAAGTCACCTTTAAGGATGCGTCATCGCTCACTGAAACTGAAACTGCATGCATGCTACACATTGTTCATATTGGATAGATGTATGATTTCAATTAACGCTGACTAGAATTGTGTGTGACAGCACCTCCTCTGACGGTTTTTGTTGCGCGTGCGCCGCACCTCCACAGATGGACCTGTAGACGGTGATAATGCCAAAATAGTTCTGTTCATCGCTGCATCTGCTGGGACCTTTTTTCTGATGGCGGCCGTGTACTGTATCTACAACAAGTTCTACACCAAACACCAGTACCTGCACACCCAGCTCAATGACGACCCAGGTAATGTTGCTGAGTTAGGAGGCTTTTTAGACCTGTGGAAGCGGCTTTGTGCTAATTTACTTCAGAAATATAGTATGCACGAGCAGGATTTTTCCTTAAGATGGCAGTTAAAAATAATACAACTAGCAGTTTAAACAAAAAGTACTGTAAAATATCTCTGTCTACAGATGTGCCCATGGACTGCATGGACCCTCCCCCTGCATTTTTCCACGCCTCTGCTTCCTCCAGTGCAATGGATATAAAGAAATCCGGTTATGGCTCACTTTCAGACACCCCGTCCATCATTTCTGCCCCCCCCTTCCTGTCCCCTCCTCCATCTGCCATGCGCTTCCCTCCCCTCTTTCTTTCCTCACAGTCTCTGAGAACAATATCGGCTCAGGATCTAGAGAAAAGCTGCATCTGATTTAGAATGTTTACCACACAGTAGCTATTACCTGTTTAACGTGTCGTGTCCTTTCCAGCAACTAAACATACCCAACTTTATTTCGATTAGGCTAAAAAGATTTTTAACACTGAGTGAGGAAATCTGTCAATGACTGGTTTTTCATTATTCTGTGTGTCACAATTCTATGAATGAAGCTTTGTCTTTAGTTTTTTCTGTATGTTAGTCAGAAACAGTTAATGATAACTTTGATGTTTTTAGGTAATAACCTCACCAAACTGTTAGATAATAAACCATCTAATGAGAAAAATAGCCCCTGATGTCTGTGTAAGCTATTGTCTTTTTTTTCCCTTACCATTTTCAAAAGTTTACGTTGAGTCTAAAGCTGTAACACGTACATTTCTGACCACTAGTGGCCATTAAACTACAATACAGATTTACTCATACAAGCACACTTAAATAAAGAGAGATACTGGATAATCCTAAAGGGTTTTGAGATGGGGAAGTTGCTAAGAAAATAAATTAATGAGCAAATGCATCTAAGAAAGTCCCAATAAATGTAATTACAAGCACCAAAATGGACGTAGTAGGTTAATTGCATGTACAGAAAATATGAAGTACTGATTTTTAAGCAGTCTCACTTTCAAAGCTTTAAGCCTGCTTCAAATGATTTTTCAAAATTGTCTTCAATGTATGGAATGAAATTTGACACATTTGTTTCTAGCAGAATGACTGCAATCAATTAGTTCAGGACTTTTCGTGTCCTAGAGACAACATTTTCAAATCTCACTCACTCAAACCTGTTTTGGGGTCTCTGGCAGTTTGCTGTCATTCAGAATGAAGCGTCACTAATATTGTCAGATTTAAGGCTTCCAGCTCTTGTGGCGCACGTATACATGCGACTACAGTTTGAGATTTAGTGTGAAGCCCAGGGCGCACAGGAGACGCTGATCGGAGCACAATAAAGTAAAAAAAAATCAAATCTGGAATTGGAATTTCTACTCGGCAAAACCACAACTTTCTATGTAGGAGCATCCGAAGCTGCTCTTAGTGAACTGTGGAGCCGTTAGATTGTCGTTTTCTAACTAATCTCGGGAAAAAAGCGCAGATAATCGTCGGTCCAAGCGGAGGCTGCTCTGCACATCTCCTTTTGGAGCATAACGGGGAACTCCGTAAATATATATTTCGATCGGAGAGTGTTTACTCTAGTTTGCTCCATTCAAGGCTTGTGTGCTCCGAAAATAGCTTTTGTCTGAACAGTCACTGCTTTAAAAGCCGGTCTGCGTGGAAGGAAGTGACATGCTACCTTCCACTCACTACACACTTGGAGAGATTAGTGCGCAGGCAGCAGTAATCTGTTTTCAGGACCATGGCCAGAGACACCGTTTGGCCATGAATCCTGTCGAAAGTTGCCCACGTCGCCTGGTCAATCTTCAGGGACACCAAAGAGTGTGAAGAAGTTCATTTGGACCTCGGGACTCTGACGCGCGCACTGGCTGAAAAATGCTCGAGCGGATTGTTGTAGGAAGCTGAAGTTGAATCAATCTCAGGACAAACCATTGTCGCCGTCCGACGACTCCGGAACTTTAAGGTTTAAGGACGCTGATGACCAAGTCTAATATCTTTTTATGTGAGTGAGAGGCAGGAAGGAGCGGAGAAAGGCTGTGCGCTCAAGTAAGGGCGCGCAAAGACCGCACATTGTCCCGGTCCTGGAGCCGTGAGGATGGAGATCAGGCCGGACAGGTTTAAGGCCGTGGCAGCCAAGACTCTCGGGAAAATATACGGGTATGTAAAGCCTCTGTAGGATGACGTATAAAACTGCATTTTGATGTTACAAAAGGACGGTTTATTGTTGGCAATGAATCTGGGCATCTGGAGCTAAGTTGCTGCTGATGGAACACGGATTTGACTCATTATCTTGAGAAGATAAGAGCAGAAGAGAAGATCAAGGTGTCCAAGGGCCTGGATAATCTGGCACATCTGTCTCTATAGACCAGAGAATCCGTCACTCATGAAAGGCAAATGTTCACTTTCTGAGACACCGCATACGTTTAAAAGATGTTAGAATTTTGAAAACCCAAAAGATTTAAAGGAAAGTAACACCTTGTTTGCTTACGTCCTTGGCACGGAAAAAAAAAAGTTCCATATAAAGCCCAAGCTGTTCTATCGGTGTAAGATGAAGCGTTACATCGACCACTGGATCAATTTCTTCCAGGCTTTCTGCAGTGCTGTCACGTTATCAAATTACAGAAGCCTTGTGGCAGGTACCTTGACTTTGAACCTCCTAACGTTGTAGGCTACCTCCCTAAAAACAATTGGAGGCTGTTGGATAATGCGGTTTTGGTTTTCCCAAAGAGTAACTGCCTCTTTAGCTCGGCTGGTTTGAGCGGCCTGTCACGTCATTCCTAGACACTAACCTTGAAAAGATTCACTTTGACACGGCCTTTTAAAAAAACATGAAACCTTGTATGGCGCAGCTCAGTGTAGAATGAATGAAGAGTTACACATTTATGATCACGTATCAAAATCAGTTTGCGACCTCAAATCTAGTCATTTGGACGTAGTCTATATCGGAGTGTCTTCTGAAAACTTTAGTTTGGTTGTAAGTCCTGGTGTCAGTAAGTTGAAAAAAACTCTAGAGATTGTAAGCTGTACTCAGGCGCACGACCAGTGATCTGACAGGAAGGGGGAATTGATGGACTCCCCTTTCTCTTTCTCGGGATTTGATGCTGCGTCTAAACACTTAAATCCTCTCCAGAAATAGCCTCTCCTCTTCCAAGCTGTCGGCCCACGTAAATCCCCGCAGACCGTACACCTGGGCCACCTCTCCCTCTCCTTGTAAGTAGCCAAGGATTAGGCCACTCGACCTACGATAGAGAGCCCGCAGTGGGCTGTAAGCTGTCATTTCCGTTGGGTGCACGTGCTCTCAGGTGCCCCTTCCATTGCTGTGCGTAAGGCGCACCAGCCATGTCCTCCGTCCCGCTCCCTGCACGCGATGGCCCGGTGGAGGGGACAGGGGCGAGACAGGGACACGTCTACGTAGACTGGTTAAGTTATCAGTCATCCGCTATCGTGCGTTCTCTGATTTACCTCCGAAAACCAGCCTATAATATCAGCAGGCTGATGACTTGATCTGAACACCAGGAAGGAGAACAAAGCAGCACGACTTTATTGATGAAAGAGTCTATTTTTATACAGGCAGGAATATCTAACTGTGTGCACGACTTGTTTTGTACAAGCTTTCACCTGAAGAAATAGCTCCACTATCATTTATAATGCATAGTCACATTTACAGCGAGCTGGAGTTTTATCGAAAAGAACGTTGTGTTTTTTGGGTGTGAGTCTTGTGTGCTTGGCTCACCAGATGTTCTCACATAACAAATCCGGCACAGATTGCCTTTCCACTGGGCTTAATTGTCTAACATTTCAATTTTCAAATTTGTTCGATAGCAGAAAGGAGACATTTTACCCTTTCAAACAACCGACAGCGGTTATTTGACCCTCTTTTATCCAATCGATAATTCCAAGCTGCTAAACTAACTCTCAACCACTCAGCTGAACTGCGCTGACATTTGTCCTTGACGTATGAATCAAGACACAAATCCAGAGAAAAAAAAAACAGGTGTTCTCCCTGAACAGGGGTATTTTGAGTTCAGCTCTTTCCGAGTATTGACACCCAAAATCATGGCTGGTAAATACTGAGCTCTGCCGAGTTGCTTTAGCCTCTTTCCTCAGTGTGTGACAGGAGCAACAGGGAGAAGGTCAGGTGGCTTTTAAGGATTAAAACGGATTTTCCTTAACATAGGGTCAGTCATGAAAAGTCGTTGCGACACCTATGGTAAATGCAAATAAAAGGACAGCTGGGAGGAAAGACTCCATATGGATGTGCCTTTGATTTGTGAAAATGAGTTGGTGTTGGAGCAGAGATGGATGTGGTGCAGTGTGTGCGGTACTGTGAGAGACTCAGGTGAAGCTGCCGGAGAAAGCAGAACAAAGATGAAGAGGAGACAGGAAGGATGAAGAGAGTCCCGCCCAGACAAAAATAGTCCAAGAGAGCCAGAGACAGGCTATTAATATTTAAACAGAGAATCATAAATACTTGATCACTGTTGAAGATTGTTGAAACCGGTGTAAGCAGGTCCGGAGTAACCAAGGGACCATATATGTTTTATAATTGTCAAGCTTTTCATTTCCCAGTCTAATTTTTGTGACTTGGTATCCATTTCACAGATCTGAAGGGAAAACATATTATAAAACAAGAAAGCTGCAAATTACCCGGTTGCAGTTACGTTTTAGCAAGCTTTTAGTGGTTTGGGTGGAAACTCAAAGTTCTGACTTCCCTTCAACATTTTGACATTTTGACAGCGTTGCTCTGGGCAGGGTATGAAGTTTTGTGTCCCCCCGATAAGCAAACACATGATGTTATTCGTTATTCAAGCAGTGCACACTTTCCCCCCCATTTTGTGTTTCTGCTCAGGCTTTTCTTCATGATGTGTCCCCCTTTAGGATTTCCAGTTGCTCTCCATTAACTCAATGTAATGCAACGAAAACAGACTTTGAATAAAACGCTTAATGATTTAACACTTGTTAACGGAAGTTCGAATCATAGACTTGAGTATTCCTCATTTGATGCCAAACTCATAATGATTTTATACATAAAATAATGAAAGATGTATCATAAGTTCCTGCACACAGAGCTATGTACAGACAAATCTACTGTGGATTCATGGGGTTATGTCACACTTGATAGAGAGTAGGTTTATAGACTTTAATTCATTATTACGTGTTACATTTAGATATTATCTCATTTCCATAGTTAGTATTTTATGATCTTAACAATTGGAGAACTGTTCCTGCTGTTGTAACGGTGCCAAATAAAGCTACTTTACAAAATCTATCTCGTTATCAAAAGTAAATATTCTAATGATGGCCCTGGCACTTTTCACAAAAAAGAAAGTACGACAACCTTGAAAAACAGATAACAGAAACTGATAAGCTCATAGAATGATCGAATATTTAGTATGTGATGCGTGCTTCCTCTTATTAAAGGGAACAGTAAGCCAAATATGAAACCACAAGAATGTAAGTTTGTCTCAAGTTCCAGAGCAACCAACACGTTCATACATAATTTTCTCAAACACTTCAAAGTGACAAAGAGCTGTTGTTGTTGTCAATATTTGGCAAAACATGCGAAGATTTGAGCTGAGATTCACTGCATTGTTGGTATTGGCATGACATAGTATCTATAAAAAATAAACCTTCATGAGGTTTCCAACTTTTATATGGACACCTGAAGGGCAAAATGTGCATAACAAGTGCAGCAAAAATAGGAAAGGAGCTCTTCTTCCCATCTGTTGTTCCAATCTGAACTGAGAACTCAGCAGTGCACATGCCATGTTTAATTCATGACTCTGCATTTCGATACATATTTGATGCTTGTTAGACAAGAGGTTGGCAGAGGTCATAGTTTCTCAAGGTTTTTTAAGAAAGCAGTAAGGAGGAGACATGTATCCTGTATACGTTCTTGTCTTTGGCTCACACTGCTTGCTCGTTGTTTCCTGTTCCACCAAGAGGTGATGGTCAGCAAAACAAAGATCCACAGTATAATGATATATCTGGAACAGAGAATAAGTCAAAGCCTTGTCTGCGTGCCCCAGTGGAGAGAACATTACCGACATCCATGCTGAAAGGGTCTTATTAAGGTACTGGTTGCTGCCAGCCAAACTGAAAGGAAGAAAGACTGTCTGAATATCTACATTCGGGCTTTCATCTGGTAAAAGTTTCAGAAAACAAGGCCCTCAAAACAGGGTCTGGTTTCACTGTTGCAGCAAGAGCTGGATAAAGGTCAGACCGACTGACTGAAACCTCTAAAAGAAACTGTATTCTTTATGCAATTGCATAAAGAATACATTTATGTCTGCCTCAGCAAAAAGCACCGTGTGCGTGTTTGTTGGTTTATGTAGGGAGAAGGTAAAGATCAGGGCTAGTATTGTACTTGATTTTCGTTATGATGGTAATGCTCTATACTTTACTCTAACACATTTTGTGGATTTAATATCAAAGGTACCTTTAAAGATGCACTAGAACAAAAAAAAATGATAATGCTAAATAATCTTGAAATTGTCACTATGTCCTGTTGATGATTCAATCGTTTCACTCCTTGAAAAAACTTTCAGTGCTTAATGAAAAAAATCACACTTTGAGACAATCAAGTCTTTAACCAGTGTCAAATACCACCACTTGAACAATAATAGTTTAGTACGTCTTCTTTATGTGGGAAGAGCTTTAAAGTGTGCATGAAAGAATCTATATGGTAACATGAATGAGAAAGCATCTTTTAGCCTTAATTCAATTAAAATGCATGGGCCCAAAATCTTCCAGCATTAAGTAAGAAACGTATAAAGTCACACCGAAAAGGATTTTTGGCTAAAGGTAAACCACCAAGCCATCCTGATATGCTCATATCAAGACTTAATGTCTACGCTCTCACAGAAGATTGTATAGACTTTTTCAAAGCAACCTGACTTGAGAACGAACGTATCACAATTGCCAATCTCTTCCACACAGAGCGCTCGAGAAGAAACAAGAAAATGGCGAGACTATCGAGTTGTCGGCGGAGGGCCGACCGGAGATGGTGGAGGAGAAGGAGATGCCAGTGGTGGACTGTACGTGCTTTGGCCTGCCCAGGCGCTACATCATAGCCATCCTCTCTGGCCTTGGTTTCTGCATCTCCTTCGGTATCAGATGTAACTTGGGCGTGGCCATTGTCAGCATGGTAAACAGCCACACCATCTTCAGAGACAACAAGGAGGTCATTGTGGTGAGTGGCAGCATCACCGCTGTAGGCAAGCACCATAACATGTTCAATACTCATTATAGAGCAGTTTCGATTGTGACACATAACGTAACGGGATGAGGTGGTGGACGTGAAATCGGAGGCTTGAACACAGCAGCTCAGGGTGATGGCTTTACACTGAAATGACATGTGGAGGAGTTCTGATGATTCCTCAGTAGGTGTCAGTGTTGGCCATCCTCTCGTCTTTGGTTTCTTCGACAGAGCTTCCGCCAGTGCCCGTCATTTGTAACCGTATCATCTGTTCCTCAGATACCTCTTTGGCCCTTTGCCCGAGTCAAAACATGAGCAGATGAATGATTTTGACTCACTGTCCCCACAGAAAGCGCAGTTCGACTGGGATCCAGAAACCGTGGGAATGATCCATGGCTCTTTCTTCTGGGGATACATTGTAACCCAAATCCCTGGGGGGTTCATTTGCCAAAAGTTTGCAGCAAACAGGTGTGCTGATTCACCAGTATCTTATCTATGTTGCATGCAAAGGTTTCTGCTGCTCTTAAAATCTGCTCTCTCTTATTCTTTTTCTTTCTCAGAGTGTTTGGCTTTGCCATTGTGGCCACCTCATGCCTGAATATGCTCATCCCTTCAGCAGCACGCATGCACTTTGGCTGTGTGATCATTGTCAGGATATTTCAAGGACTTGTTGAGGTGAATGACTCTTCTTTTTGACTTGGTAAGCTTACAGAGGCTATTTTTTGTTTTGCAAACCGTGTTACGGTCATAATTTGCCATCTTGCAGGGCGTGTCATATCCTGCCTGTCATGGTATCTGGGCAAAATGGGCACCCCCTCTTGAAAGAAGTCGTCTGGCAACAACAGCCTTTTGTGGTGCGTACAACATCACTGTGCCTACCTCTCATCATTTTATTTTAGAATATCCAGTGTTTCTTAAAGCTGTAAAATGCCATAACTACTGTAAATTGCCACAGAGTTCAGTCCAAAATTGTTGATCAGTCATGTTGTCTTTCAGAATGACTCAGGAATAGTTATTATAAAACCATAATGTCCCCAGTTGCCTTAAGCGATAATTACAAAATATTTGCTGGTTTCAGTCTCCAAAAAGTGACCATTTGCTCGCTTTAAATGAACTGAACAGCTAGATTTATACATAGAACATTAAACACACAGTTCATCAAGCATTAAACACACCACCAGTTGTTTATTTTTCCTTTTTCAGGTTCTTATGCAGGTGCTGTGATTGCAATGCCTCTTGCTGGAATCCTAGTTCAGTATTCAGGGTGGTCATCCGTCTTTTATGTCTATGGTAAGAGACCTTCGACTTGTAATGATTCAAAAATAATTTCAGAGAGAACAATTATTAGAAAAAAAAACTTTCACCTTATGGAAATAATAGATTTTCTACAGTAGAGGTATGCAACAGATTCTTGACAGATGCATGTAATGTAATGCCACAATTACAGTTTGTGATAAGTGCAAATTAAGTACAATGGAGACACCTGAAATGCACAGCCATGTTTCAAACACTGCAAGGACAGGAAAACCACAACCAACCACCACTGCAAATAAAAGAAATGTCTCATGCACATGACATTGCTTCCCATTTTGTAAAGACTAAAGAACGTTTTAGACTTCAGAGACAATCAGATCATTGTTTGGATTATATTCATTAACAAGCAGTCGAATTGAAAAAAAAAGAATTAGTCAAATTCTGAGAAAAAAAGATTCAGAAACTGATGAAAATGTACTCAACAAATCTGCATTTCAATGCAGCTTCTTCAGTTTCTTTTTTTTTCTTCCCCCCCAGGAACTTTTGGTGTCATGTGGTACTGTTTCTGGATCCTGGTGTCATATGAAAGCCCTGCAAAGCATCCCACCATTACTGAAGAGGAGAGGACTTATATTGAGGAGAGCATTGGCAATTCGTCCCAACAGTCAATAACGGTCAGCGAATCACTCACACACAGTGTAGTACAGGCACTGACCCACACCAGGCCGTGTAAAGTAAAACGATGTCGATACTTGAATTTCTTCAAAAGCATGTGGACGGTGTGGAGGATTGATGTGCTGGCAGGTTTTTATTGTTTCATTCTAAACATTAAACTCACAATGTGATCTCATTTGAGAGAATGTGCCGACGCGATGCACAAGCACAAACTGAGTCGCATATAAAATGAAGGGTGTATCCCATCACTCATCTCTGATGATTCTTTGTTTTGGAAAAGTACCTCCAACTAGAAACTCATTGCATTGCTGTTAAGTTGCTAAATTAAGATGGGTATTTTTGTTTTGCAGAAGTTCAACACACCATGGAGGGCCTTCTTCACCTCTATGCCCGTCTACGCCATCATTGTGGCTAATTTCTGCAGAAGCTGGACTTTCTACCTGCTCCTCATCAGCCAGCCTGCATACTTTGAGGAGGTTTTTGGATTTGAAATAAGCAAGGTAATAGAAGGCAAACACTGTAACCGTGTTCATCGTCAAGAAGTCTCCTTATTATTGGTGAAGCTGGAAATTCCCCAGAAGTTTAGCTGGAGTCGTCTTTACGTGTACATTTTCACTCGCCTGTCCAGGTTGGCATAGTTTCGGCGCTCCCCCATCTGGTTATGACAATCATTGTGCCCATCGGTGGCCAACTGGCTGACTATTTACGCTCCAATCATATCATGACCACCACCAATGTCAGGAAACTCATGAACTGCGGAGGTAAGAATGAACCAAAATCAGTTTTCGGGTTCCCCCCCCAAAAAAATAAATCCTGCTTTTCTGGCAGGGCGGAACTTGTCGCTGGTTCATACTCAAAAGCACATACAAAAAAAAGTCTGACACTTGATTTTCTATGTTCGACTCAACGTTTTTCGAGTCACTTCAACCAGCCTTTCATGGCCTTTTTAAAAAAAGGGACTTTATCCTCTGTTCATGTCAACAGTAATGAGGTAGTCTATTCATAACTTTAGATTTAAGATTGTAATGATTTAACATGGCATGAATTTACTGAACTTTTAAAGTGAAGTCTTTTCTGCAGCTTAGTCATAGAAAGTTTCATCATAGAAAAATGCGAGCTTTGATGAGAACATGTTTGCAGAAAGCAACTGATGACTCAGTGCCGAGCAGACACCCTCCCTCGAACTGCTATTTTTGAACTACAGAGAAATAGATACCAAAGTGACATACCGAAGCAGGCAGCGTGCCTATCTCTCGGCAACTTAGCATAACTTGCGTGCCAAATTTAGTTTATAACAAGGTTAAAAAGGGAATCAAATTTGTAATTCAGTGGTAAAGGAACATGTTAAACCTATTATTTCTTTTTCTGTATGCCCTCAGGCTTTGGGATGGAGGCCACCCTGCTGCTGGTAGTTGGTTTCTCTCACACGAAAGGCGTTGCAATCTCGTTCTTAGTCATGGCTGTGGGTTTCTCTGGTTTTGCCATTTCAGGTGATATGTAATGTGTTATACAAAATACGAACTATCATAGCAATTGTTTTAGCACCTAAAAGCTGACTGGCTGTGTTTTTTATTCCTCATAAGGTTTTAATGTCAACCATCTGGACATTGCACCACGATATGCCAGCATCCTCATGGGTATCTCCAATGGTGTGGGAACTCTGTCCGGCATGGTTTGCCCTCTTATAGTTGGTGCCATGACGAAGCATAAGGTAGTCCAAATCATACATTTCAATGTTCTCTCATTCTCAAAGGTTTATCATTTCAAATGCACAGTTTAAATGTGATATTCTATCCTGACATTTTTATGTCCAGATGGAAAAAGGTGTCTTTATTTCTCCTGAGATGCACTTTAAATTTCATGGAGAAATTTGTTTCGGAAAGATTTTAGTGATCCTACATCATTTATGAAAGCTTTATGCGAGACAGGAGAATTATAGAAGAGTATCAAACGTTCATTTAATTTAGTGGTAAGAGAATTTCAATATTTTAACTTGAAGTTCATGAACAAAAACTATACACAAATATGTTGCTATGTTAAGACTCCAGAATGTGGTGTTTTCAAAGTCCCAGCAGGGTTTGTTTATGCACATATCTCTTCTTAATTTTTGGTTTTGTCATTTCTTTTTGACAGACACGAGAGGAGTGGCAAGGTGTATTTCTCATTGCCTCACTGGTTCATTATGGAGGTGTCATATTCTATGGTGTGTACATTTTCCCGCTTTTGTGCCCGAATATTAATTCGAAGTCAATATAAGTCAGTGTGCCTTTCTCAGTTGAATCAGTTCAGTTAAATCAGTTCCTGTGTATTTTTAGTCAGCGGTGTCTGAAAATGAACCAAATTTCCCCAGGTCTTTTTGCATCTGGTGAGAAACAACCGTGGGCGGAGCCGGAGGAGCTGAGTGATGAGAAATGCGGCATCCTGGATGAGGATGAACTCGCAAATGAGACAGAGGAGCTGTACCGCACCAGTGGTGGAGGAGGTTATGGAGCCATGAACCCGGCATCAGATCCCAATGGCGGAGGGGGAGGAGGCTGGGTCTCAGACTGGGACAAAACTGAGGAGTACGTCCAACCAGCCGGGACAAACAATTATCTTTATGGAGGAGAGGGCGAACAAGATTGAACATAAAGCCACACACAACCTCGTAGTGAGGCACAAACAGTCTACCAACAGTGTGGAGTCACAGCCCGATGGCCCTTTGGAGGTGTGGATTGAAAACAGAGAGCTGAAAGGCGCATTTCTCAGAAGTTCTGACAAAAATAACATCACTGAACTGATTTCGGAGGGACTGCACGAGGGGGATGAAGACATTAGTAGATGTAAAATGTGTGACTGTGTGTGATTGAATGTTTTATCTTGGGTGTTTTAGGAATCTGTAGCCTTTTTTTGTTGAAGGAGGGCTGTACTTTAGGCCTGATGTGACTTCCTTTTATGTTTAAACAATAGTAGAAGTTTCTATATTCACTGACGAGTCTTGGCATGAAATTGAGTTGCCTCTCGTTTCTATTTTAAATATCAAAGACTGCTAATTCACAGTCACATCTATGTCACGTGAACTGTTTCAGAACATGCAATGCGGAGAATCTACAATCCGCAGAAGTTAGGACAGGAATGTTTCTCCTGAAGGCAGTGTTCATTATTCACCTTAATCTGCACACATTGAATAAAAGCATTGTGCCAATACAACAAAATATTTTCTGTAGTATTGGTTGACTTACTCACTGAGAAAACAATGAACACCAATTACTGTTTGAAGATGTATGTGAAGTTGATGGAATCCTTTTTTTGTGGGGAAAAAAACGCAACATGATGTAGCGGAGCCTCCAGCCTGTCTGTGAGCAAAAAAATAACTAAATCTTTTCAAATCCTGTTTTAGTTTTAAAACCCTTAGCTTGTCTGACTTTGATCCTTGAAACTGCTCTCTTCCAGATCAAGCATCTAAATTTTGTTCAATGTGCTTTTCATTCAATACATGCTTCAGTAAGGTTCTAGTGTTGTACAATTTTTCACAGAAGCAGTTTGTGCCACTGCTGTGAGCTCCAGCACAAGTTAGTTTCTCGTCTCTGTCTCTAGGGAAAATCTTAAAAGCACTGAGTGGAGGCAGAAGGGGAAAGATGTTTGCTTTTAAGGTGGGTATTTGCGACAGTTTGCTTAATTTGACTGTAGATGGTCCAGGACAATCCAAATAAAAGCCTAATAATCGGCAGTAAAGCAGTTGCATTTCCTTGTTCATGAGCTGTTAGTTTTTATTTTTGTTAGAGGATGTTGAAATGTATATAGCTTCTTGAATGGGCAACTAATATAAGATAATTTACCATTCTTACGTGATGGGGTGGTACTGTTTCAAGAGTCAATTTGAAATGTCAGAATTTTTATTGTTCCTGTCATTTTGCATTGATTTATTATTAATTAATTAATTATAAATTAATATGTTGGCTGTAAACTAAAACTGTGAGAAAAATAATGTACCTGTGAAAACATTGTATAATAAAATATAGAGGTGTTAATCTGTGTGCGGTACCTTTTTTTATAATTTCCGACCTACATGGCCTACTTCCATCATAAAAAAAGTCCTTCATTATTTATGTTCAGGCTCATATAAAGCAGCCCTTTGACCATTCTGGCGGCGTTTCATGTTACTCCTAATGCACAGCAATGGATATTGATCGCTGACTCAAAACAGGAGGATGTCCCGTCTGGGGGATTTTTTGTGTTCTGTCATGTCTTAGTCTTGTCATGTCCTGTTTTATTTTGAAAGGTACATCCCCTTGTTTCAGGCTGCATTTCCCCTAATCCCTGATTGTGTTCACCTGGTTTCTCCTTGTATTGTGCCAGTGTGTTTTCGTCCTTTGACCTATACTGAGACTTTGAACTCAGCAAGGAAAAGAGGAAGGAGGTATCTTTAAATAAGTTGTACCTTAGCGCAAGGCTGAAACCATTTTCGGAGCAAAGGCAGAAGTAAAACTCCCCAACTGCTGGAACACTGGCTTGCGTATGAAAACCACTGAAAGACTTCACTGCCGAAACCAAGTTAAGTTGCATTTTTTTCTTCATAGTTCTTTCTTCCCAGTACCAACACAGATACTCCCACCTTTTATTTCACATACCAAGAGGGTCGAATCGACCAGCAGTCTGTGAGCAGAGACACAGCTCAACTCACTGCTGGTTTTGGAGATCAAATCATCAAATCTTTTTCAAGCAATTTCTTTTTTAAATATCTAAGTCTGGAAGCCAAAAAGAAGAAATGAACTTTTCCATTTCATTGTTTGAGTCTGTCTACAAGATGGAGATTGTCATTTCTTAGAATTTAAAACACTTGCCAAGCTGTTTCCCTTTTTCAAGAAATTCTCTTGCAGCAGTTATTGCACCATTAACATTTAGTTCCCTGGTCATACCATTCTTCATAGTCTTGCCGTGAGGCGATGGTGCTAACCACCACAACGCCGCCCTACATAGATATGTAATAGACTTGGAAACATTTGGCTTAAAAAGGTAGTGAAATATTGTTACGTATTGTCCTTATATTCTTTAATTGCATAACTCTCTTTACCACCATGTTGTGGTTTCCACCCCTTTTGTCTGCTTTCATAGATTGTTGAAGATACTGTGTTGAAAAAAATCCATCAACTAACACTCTTAGATTTTCCACCTGTCTTTGGGTGAGTGGTTCATTTCAGTTTGCATCTTGTTTGGTTTTGCTGTTAGTTATTTTGTGCAATTGTTTGGTTTACTGAGGGATGAGAAACCCAGTGTCCGTGGAAAATGAATGACACATAGTTACATAAAGACTGATAGGATACCTTTGCACAAAACAAAACCAAATGTGTAAACTGATTAATAAAAATGATTTATTTCAGAATGAAGAATACATTACAGTAAGCAGGCAATACATCTACAAGTTTATGTAGTTAGCATATCAATGGTTTAAATAGGGCTTTAAAGCGTGCAGTTATATTAATCTTTCCACAAAACAGAAAGGAATTACATGGTAATGCTGTTGCAAAATGCTTGTATTTGCTAATCTTCAAAAGAAGTGACATTTTGCAACACATGGGAAATAATGCCTCTTCAAAAAATCCTGATCTCTATGATAAACTTGTGGAATATTGTGATATATGTATGTACAATGATTAATTAGTAGAAGCACTGGCATCATCGAAGCAGAATACCTTCAAATAAACTGTAATTTGCTGCCTTTACAGCATAAAATGGAAAATAGAAAAAGTGTGAAAGCAGATGCATTGGATTTGTCATTGTTTTTCCCCACTGATGATGTCACAAGCTGGATATTTTTCATTTTTGTTAACCTGTAAACACATTTCCCCTTGCTAATCACATAATTGATACAAAAAATGAATACTTCAGGCTGACAACTCTTTTTTCACAGTCTGATCCAGAATTGCCTGTTGTCTGAAGTGAGCATGAAAAACACTGGTGCTGCCTAATTTGTCTGACCAGAAAATTTTCCCTTTTGGGACTGAAACGTATTTTGTTTAAGAAAAAACATGTCATTCATGAGAACTACTCAGACCATTATTTTTTATCTTGATTGCTCTGTGCCCTGTGTTTTTGTTTTACTCAGCCACTATCCACATCTCTTTCTCTTTCTTTTCCTACGTCTCCAGGGTCTGGTAATCGTCCCCTTTTATTCCCTCTCTCTTCAGAGCTTCGTAACCCCCATCTCCTCCTGCTGCACCATGAACCTGCACACTATGGTACACCCCTTCCTGCATTCCTTCTTTCTTCAGAGCTTCGTAACCCTCATCTCCTCCATGGGCCTGCAGACTATGGTACACCCCCTCCTGCATTCCCTCTTTCTTCAGCGCTTCATATTCACCACCTTTCCTCTGCTCCCCCGATGCCTCTGGATTAATTGTGTCATACTCGCTCTCTTTCGCTTTTGCCAGAGTTTCATATTTCTCATCCCCGCGTGTCTTCAGTGCCACTTCCTCATAATGCGCGTCTAAATATCAAGAGTCATAGGTGATGGTGAATATCAGAAGTGGCCATAGCATGCACTTAAAGAGTATTTTAAAAAAGGTAGTATTTTCTCACCAATCGTATTGTTCCCAGACCTACTATTTCTCCTCTTGCCATGAATTACCAAGAATATCCCAGAGACTACAAGGATTAATGCAGCGATGATGATGATGATGACGATGTTGAATTGATTTTTATTTGCTGGCTCCCCATCTAAAACAGAGACATAAAAAATTAGACAGAACATGGCCAAACTGTTCTCAGAGACTGGGTAATGGTTGAGTGAATAGATAGTAATCCTTTCGGGGTACAATGACCCCATTCGTAAGGTAAGACCAAAAAACGGGTGCTCACAATCAAAAGAGCTGCTGGGTAAAGTCCTCATGCTATCCATCACAAATCTACACTGATAAGTACCAGTGCTGTCTAGCTTCCAGTTAGAACCAAGCATTGTCCACGACACACCGTTGTGCTTGTAGAACCTGTGTGACATTCCACCGGCACATGATGGGCAAGAACACTCCCCGTTTTCAGTGAGTTTGGCTCTTAGAGGTTGCTCTGAAATTAAATGAATGACACAGACAAAGTATTAAATGAAGGAACCATGGCACAGGACAGACAAAGTCAGAGAGTGTACGGTTTCCATACCTTGGACAAGCACCTCTTGATCGTCAGAATACAATATATGTGGAGTCTGTAGGGTCTGGTCTTCGTATCTGAACTTTGCACGACACCTATAGTTCCCCCCTTCAGATTCTTTTGCTTGTTTAATTTCATAAGTAGATCCATCAACTGATTGAATGGATGAATTGTCTTTGAAGAATTCAGCATTACTAACATGATTTGTGCCCCAGACAAGACACCTCAAAGTCAGTTTATCCCCATCTAACGCAGGAAAGGGATACATTTCCAGGGAAACTCTTTTTTCTGAAAGAAAATTGAAAAAAATGAGTATTACAATTCAACACAATTTACTATTTAAAGATATCGGATGTTGCAGTAATCTGTAATAATATATAATCAAATTGTACAGTGATTTTTTTTCCTGTCCTTCTTTCTTCTTGTTTAGACAGATATCTTTAACAATAATTTTAAATGAATGATTATTATTATAGACATACCTGTGGTTCTGATAGTGATTTGGTTACTTCTGTATTTTCTAGTCTTGTCGGAACACCAGAAAATGGTCTCGGGAACAGACAGGGAATTGGGCTGAAAGGAAACACTCACGCTGTCATTTCTAACATTCAATTTAATTAATTTAGTTGTCTCTCCCCTGAACACCCAGCAGTTCCATCCACCAATCCCGTCATCATTTACAAGTGTCAGGATAACAGAGCCTTTTTTTTCCATCACAGGCTGGCCTGTCGAAAGGATGAGTGAAGCAATAGGAGTGTATTCTGTTGGGAAAATATAAAAAATTTTTACGAATTTATATGAATTTGAATTTATATGAATATTTTTTTCAATTTAGAATAAAAACTTAAACAGTAGGAATTGGGTCCATTAAGCATTGTTACCGTGGGCCTGGATCGTGAAGTCTTCACTCTTTTGTCCATTGCTCTCACAAACATAAAGGCCTGAGGTTTTGGAACCAGCAGCTGGTATTTTCAGTTTTTTCCCTCTAAATTCTTGTTCCGTGCCATTCAAGAACCATTTCACTGAGACTGCATCACTATTACAGATCAAATAAAACCTGTCCCCAAAGAAGATCGTCTTCAAATCCGGTAACATGGTCACTAGAAAAAGTAAAGAAACAATTCAATTGAATTTTATTAAACCAACGGAAGGGAAAAGACAAACTCTATCGCATCAGGAGAGGTTAATAATTACCTTTTGGTTTTTGCTGACATGTCACCAAGAGTAGAAATCCTATAACAGAATTAAAATAAACCATATTTGATGTATTTAATAAAATATCAAAAAGTATGAATTACTTATACTTCAGTTTTGGGTTGGAATAGATCATCATTGTTAAAATTGGTTTAGTTTTTAAAATGTATCAATATTACAGTATATATTTGTGAATTCCTCTCTTATCTGTGTATGTATCATCATAGTAAATTAATTTAGTTAGTTTTGGTGTTGGTTCTTGATTGGACGAAGTTGCCTTTTAATTTGTAATGATATACATTTGCAAATTACATTTCATAAAACCATCCAGTGTCGCTCATAACCATGCAAACAGTCATTCACAAAGTCTGTTATAGTCAGAAAGAAAGAGAAACGCATCTCGTTAAACTACGGTCAGTTTACTGTAAGAAACGCGGCACATTTCAGCAGAATTTGATGATGGCATCAAAAACCGCCTCCCTACAGTTCTGCAGCAGCGGAAATTCACTCAGCACTTTATAGACTTTATGTATAAACTTTATAAATAGCGCCTAGATTGCACCATGTGGTATGGGACATTTACTTGTAAAAATGTCTACATGAGAGCAAAATTCAAAAGCAGAACAAAAAAAAACTCATTAAACTACAGTCAGTTTACTGTAAAAAAATGCGGCACATAGACTTTATGTATAAACTTTATAAATAGCGCCTGCATTGCACCATGTGGTATGGGACATTTACTTGTAAAAATGTCTACATGAGAGCAAAATTAAAAAGCAGAACAAAAAACACGGCACAAATAAACTATATAACTTGTAAACACCTGGCACACTACTCCATGTGTCAGTGGATCTGTCTTACCTGGCAAGAGCAGCAGACATTTCCCTCCCCCCATCGCCAAAACAGAGACCAGAGAGTTTGTGACACAACACACAGACTGAGCCGCTGAGGAATGATCGGACACTAAGCAGCTCAGACATATATTCATTTATGGTGAGGAAGTTGTGTGGCAGGGAGGGGTGAAGGATAACCACAAAATGCCTGAAACAGAGAAAAATAATACAAACAATTTTGCAAACTTATCTGCACTTCAAATGTACTTTTCCTCTTTGTAAGGATGTCTTTAGTTGTTTTCAACCCCACCATTCAACCAGTTTTATCACTGTCAAGATGACTGCTGTCTTTTGAATGTGAAAGTTCAAGTAAAAAAGATGGAGACAAAATTGCATCCCACCGTCCCCAGCAGCTGCTTTATAAGTCAGTCGTTTTTAAAAATTGAATAATCATAAAAGAATTGGTCATTAATTTGATTAAAATATTTTTTTTAAAACAGTTTAGTTAATGTTTGTCTAAATGTGATCAAAGCGAAAGATTTGTCCCATTATGGCAGCAAAGGTGTCAAACATCCAATTCTACCCATCTTATATTCCATTGGACATCGTTAGGTTTTCTGGGTTGTGGTGTAGTATTGTATTTGTACGCTACAACATCAGAGGATGACACAGCAGAAACACCCTGCCTGGTGTCACATACCGTTGGAGATCTTGCATTTGGGCGTGAACTGAATAAAAAAATGTGATTCTTAATTTTTTTGGAAGAAAAAAACACTAGCAACTTTTGACGGATGAAAATGTACGGTTCAGAATTCAGTGCTTTTAGGTGACACTGTAAGAAAGAGCAGCTATGTCTATAACAAGATAAGTTCCAGTACCACTGAGTCATCACCAAATATATGAGCTGGTGATGACTTGTTCTTGGACTGTGTATGGCTTTTTGAACCTCGGTGTTTTCAGCAGCATTTTGTAACTTGTAAAAACATTGTAATCTTCAAAAAGTACCGACTTGTGGTCACAGATTTATTCAAAGCACCAACGATTCTAATCTTGAAAGTTTTAGCGTTCGGACTTCACACTTTGCTTGCCTTTTGATTTCGCTGTGGAAAAGACAAGGCAACTTTTGTTAAAGGTAAAACTGTCACAGCTCTTGAACATGTCAAACTGTTTTTAGCTGCCCCAGAAACTGAAACCAGATAAGACTTTATTTTTTTGGTGGCCAGTGGACAAAGAGGTGTTAGGTTGAAACGAACATCAAACGCCAACACTGCATATCATTCAAGTAACACCCCTGCCCAGTCATTCTTCCAAGAATAACACTTTAAAAAAGTTTTTTTGAACAATAACACACAGCCTTTATGAAACATTGTGATGAGCTGTGCAGTCACTTGAGGACAGTGTGGGTTTGGGGTGTTAGAGGAGATAGCATAGCCCTTGGGTGAGCAACTTCTGCTTTTTTAGTGTTGTGTAAAAGAAGAACTGTTCAGCAAGCAACATGGTTGGTTTGTCTACCAGATTCTTGGCAGTGAAGAAACCTCTCTGGTTTTGTTCCTGGGTTCTGTTTTCTTTGAAGTGTTCAATCTTCAGTGTGTGCTCAGACAGCTATCTCAGCAGCAAACTAGTCAGCTGTCCCTTTAGCAGTTTTTCTACATCGTTCTCCGATCTTTACAGAGAACAGCTGTTAAAAATTAGTTGAGGTGTTTCAGTTACACAAAATGGCCACCAGAGTCCAGCACTGCCTTGGTTTACCTTAAAAGAGTGGCACCAGGCCTCAAATTAAAAAAATCTATGATAAATTACGCAAAAAATTGTGAATGATGCAGGACTGTTTGTACATTTCAAAGCACTTATCTAAAGATCGAAAGCATTACTTTCTCTGTGCTTTCTCTGTACTCTCTCTCATTTTGATTTCGCCCTTGGCTTTCCTTTCATTTTTGACCCAGCTTCATCAACCACAAAGAAACTGCCCTCATTAAAAAGACGGAAAAAAAAACTACCCATCACATTCTTACGGCTGAATGCTACATCTGCCCGTGACCCACTTTTCTCTCCTTGTGTTTGGCATTAGAGGGGTTAACACAGAAGGCAGGACAAAGGTAGTCTGTGAAAAAAAGGACACTGAATGGCAAAGAGAAAGCGCAAAGTGACGATGAGAGTGAGAGCGAATGTACACCATAGAGTGGTGCACTACCAAAAGAGAACACCTACAAGAGCGCTCATCAAGTATTTCAAATAGGTGACATGGTGCCCTTAAGAGCCCAAATGTAGTTTGATTCATCTACATCTCCTCTTAGAGGGTAACAGAGTGTTCTGTTGTGCACATTACTGAATTAAAGCCACCTCTCTTTCTTTGGTTTCTTCATAAGAGGCCTCTAAAAGCAACTCTAAAGTATGACGACCCTCTGTGGTTAGAACACTCCAAATTGTAAATTAGGAAGCACAAGAAACTGTTATCATACAAATGTACGTATTGTCACACATGTCAGCAGGCAAATTGTGTAATTTCTCAAGTAACTTGCCAAATGTGTAATTTTTTATTGTGTTTTAACTTTTACTGTTGTGTTTTGCAGCAGTTAGCTATTTCGTTGGATAGTCATATCAAAGCACTTTATAACCATCTTGCATAACCATGGTTGTGAAACGTGCCTAGATAGTTGAAATGCAAAGTCCCACAACATTTGATACATTTTAAAGATGAGAAACAAAAGACAGGTAGCCTCATATTAATCTAGCACCATCTTCTCAAAATATACACGTATTGTTGGACGCTATTTATGCACAGTTAAAAAATTGTAAAGCAAATAGACGTATACCAATATGTATTAGAAAGTCATTGGAAGACTAAGTTTTACTGGCATTGTACAAACCATTAATATACTGTAGATGACATTTCACAAGGCATCAGTTATGCACAGTGAGTTTTTAGATATCATGCAATCACACATTATAGAGATTAGATTATAGAGACTAGAATGAAATGGATACACAGAGTGTTATTACAGGATGCACTTTGCATTGATGCTAAACCCAAAGCTGTGCCCAGTAGGACTCGGGGGCAATAGCCATTATCTGCCTTTTGTGTTCATTTCAGTTGATCAGGAAATTAACTGTTTTATTAGAGTACCCTTATTTTACATACAACTAAAATAAGAAAAAAAAGTGGACAGCAAAAATCAAACTGTTCTCATACTTGATCAAATAAATCACATTCTTAACACTGGAACCCTTTTTTTAAAAGTATTGATGTTAAAGGGTTAAGAAACATTTGGGTGGCGGGTGACACTATTGTTTTCAATTTGGTAAACCAGTCTAGTTCTACACTGTGTTCTAAACACACCTAGTGACAATCCTGCTTCTCCTGCCTACATTATGCCATTGTGGAAACCATGATTTTGCAGAGTAAACATGGTTTAACAAGATGTTCTTTCCGTTTCCAGTTTGTGAAATTGAACCACAGTTTGACAACTTGTGCAAATAACACAAAGAAGTGTTTTACGATGAGCTGCTTTGAGAAACCCCAAATGAGATCCACATGCAAACTCTACACCAGGGGTGTCAGAATCCAGTCCTCGGGGGGCCGCCGTCCTGCAGGTTTTAGACATTTTCCTGCTTCTGCACACCTGATTCTTATTAAATTGGATCTCCTCTGGACATTGTTGAGCTTTGCACCTGTCTAATGGCCCTTTGATGTGAATCAGGTGTGTTGAAAAAGGGTTACCTCTAAAACCTGCAGGACAGCGGCCCTCGAGGACTGGAGTTTGACAGTCCCCTGGTGTCCAACTCCGATCCAGGAGGGCCACTTTCCTGCAGGTTTTAGAGGTTTCCCTGCTTCAGCACACCTGATTCTGATGAAGTGGATCAGTTCAAAGGCTTTGCACAAGTCTGATAATCACACACAAAGAGAGGTTATGTAGGGAGTTGGGCAGGAATAAAATAAAATTGGATATTGGGGATTTGTTTCAGAGGTCGTCTGGGGATGTGGTTTTTGGGAGTGTTTTCAATTTTTTAAGAAAAACGGGTGTGTTAGGAAGAATTTAATAGATTGTCGAATCCATACTCCAATCTGGAAGGTGGCGGTAATACACCTAAAAGTTGTTTGCCAACCGCCATAAAAAAAGAGAAGAAGATAATCGCACACACATGGGAATCAGGTGTGTTGAAGCTGGGAGACTTCTAAAACCTGCAGGACAGCGGCCCTCGAGGACCAACTTTGGACTCTGGACTCCAGAGTGTACCCTGCCTCTCACCCATTGAATGCTGGGATGGACTCCAGTCCCCCTGCGACCCCATTAGGGAATAAGCAGTTGCGAAAATGGATGGATGGATCTCACTTGAGGTATGACTTCTCACAAATGGACACTACATTTTTATTTAAAAAAGACACTGAGGCTCGCTCCTCAATTAAGCTACAAGAATTGTGTCTGGTGCCGATTGAAATAGTTTTTTTTACATCTTCAAACGAGTCATTTGAGGCTGCTTATTTAAACCCCATACAGTACCTACAGTTGTGCTTTTGTAGGATTCAATCAGAAAATAAATCTGTGTCTGTGGATCATTCAGGGCAAAGACAACATGTATTGTGATGAGTTTCTTTAAATGTAATATTCAATCTGATGAGAACAGCAGACAAACTGTTACTCGGCTTTGCAGTTCTAGGAGTGGGGCGACAGTCACAGCACAATATATCCCGGCAAATGAGCTTAGAAAACAAAATGAAGATGCCGTCTTAAAAGCCTGTTCAAAGTCAACAGGCTTTGCTCAGTGACGTAATGACATGCAGAATCTGTCTACATTCTTTTGATCTGTTGCTAAACCTATAGATGTATCAATGCCCATAAACATTTGTGTTTTGTTTTTTTTTGCTTTTTGTTTATTCATATAAACAAAATACCTCCCCGGGCATCACAGAGACGAGGGAAACTGTGAAGTCCACAAACACATCCCCAGTGTGCATAAGCAGGGAGCAGATAAAAGGGTGGCAACTGGGAATCATATCATACGACCAGAGCATTTGATTGATAGAATGGTTGAAATAATGAAGTGGAGGGGTTGGAATATGAGGGAACAGTGGAATATAAAAAAAAAAAGTCGGGCAGAGTAATGGAGAAAACGAGAGGTAATTGAACAGAAGAACACTTGGATGCGAAAGAAAGAA